CCCCCTTGCCATCAGTGGATAAGAAAATACCTAGTTTTCTCTCGATTTCTGCCACCATTCACTTAATCTTTGCTTGGTAATCTCTACAGTCTTGAAATCTACTCTCCCTTCGCTGTCTCTAAAACCCAATGACTTTATTAAATCTATGTTGTTTTCGGTAGGCATAGGGTGAAGCCCTTTACAGTTGAGTATCAAGTGCTCAGCCGTCTCGTCCTCCTCTCCACAAGCAGTGCACACTGCAGCAGTGGAGGCACCCGAGGGCCGAGACGCGAAGGTGAGTACGCCCGTGTTCAGTGTCCTCGATGTGCTACACCACTTCTGCTAACTCCTACGTCAAAATTGGGTCAAAATAGCAAGAAAATTGTGTATGTATGTATGGTGCCTGGAACGCGTCTCCGACTGGTGTGTTTACCGCGGCCAAAAAAAGTGGTCCCTCGATTTCCGCCTGATGACGTCATAAAAGTGTCATGCTGTCGCCGGTCGCGACCCTGGCGGCGTCCCAACAGCTGTGGTGTATGTAGCAGATGCCTGTTTTGCTGCAGGTCGCTTTCCACTGTGAAGGCCCGTCCGTGGCCCGTCCACACTCTTGCGACCGAACTTTTGTCGAACCAGATTTTTTGGTCGAACTTTCGGGGTTGGACTGGGTCGAACTAGAGCACTATATAGCTCCTTCGGAGCAGAGTAGCGCAGAGAGTAGCGCAATCTAGAACGCCGTCTCTCGGCGACTAGCGGCGAACGCCCGGAGGTTCCAACTGCGATCAGAAATGCATGGAGAACGTGAGAAAATCGTTGTTTCTTCAGTTTTGTGGGGATGTGCGGAATGGAAATCATTTTTGACATAATAATGAAACGTTTTAGAATAATATACGATAAGTTTTGTGCCATACAAGGACGTAACTTTTTTTAAAAAATTGCCTGAGCGGCATCATGCAGCAGACGACACGGCGACGTCACACCATTCACGTGACCCGCTCCGGCCAACCCGAAAAGCCCATCTCCGCTGCGAGCAAAAATCGTCTGCTTCAAACGCCATTGCCTTGGAAATTGCCTTCTCAAAATTTGCACACGCATCCGATATTATTAAAACTTTGATAAATGGTTTAGTGCTTTACTAACTTCACGACAGAGTAGTTTTGAAAAGTGTGAACTCGCCGTTCATTTTTTAATCAGCCGTGTTAGGTCGATCTCCATGTATTCTCCCATAGGGCGGGCCGCCTCCTGGAACCCTGAGTACCACGTGACTCGCGCCGAGCCGCTCTGTCGGCCATGTTGTCGGCAAAACACGGGGTTCAAACAAGGAGGTTAAAAGTACTAGGAGGGGGCACGTTGCAATATTGGTGAAGCCTAGTCATAAAAAGTTTAAACGATTTTGTGCCCAGCGTGACCGCAGATCTCTCTGGCGATTGGTGCGCGTGACATGTCACGTGTGAGATGGATGGTTGATTGCAGAAGGACTCCTTGCATGCTTGCGCGCGCTCCGTCCGGTAGGTTTTATCGGGTCGAAGTCTAGACTGTGGTGTATTCTAGTACCCCACAGCAAGACGAAGTCTAGCTACGGTCACGTGATGTGGTCACGTTGGCATGGTAAGTGAGGAGAGTAAGGAGGAAAATGAGAAAGAGGCGAGGCGTCAAGGGAGCATGGCTTGTGGAGGCTACGCGGCCGACGTCATGCCCTCTCCTACCCTTCTATTCTCCATGGGTTCAAAGGATTGCGCTCATTGCGCTACTCTGCTCTAGGTCGAACCGGTTCGACGAACCTTCGAACTTTTCACCAGATTCGACCGGTTCGACTTTGTGGACACTGTGGCCAGACCTTGATACAAGCATGTCTAGGTTTGGAGAATTTCTTTTTTTGTGCAAAGGGTTATTTTATTGTGTGAATAGCTCCAATTAAAAGAAACTAATTCAATTCACTGAAGAAGTTAATAACTTAAATTTGAGTACTGTATTGACTGAAATAGCCGATCAGCGCTGCACTTAATTCATCTTTTAGCCATTACCATCCAATCCGAAGCCAACTAGCCAGCCTGTCGCGCATGCGCACACGAGTCGAACCTTAATACAAGGTTCGTCGAATTTTCTACTAAAAGTTCGGAAAAGTCGAATCTGGTCGAACTCGAACCGCGGCCTGTTCGCGACACCCCTAGACAGTTCAGGGTAGCTCTAGCAGCCGGATTTGGGACGTCTAAAGGGACGCCGTGACGACAGCGACACTCGCATTCGCTCGTGCTTTTCGCCAGCATTTCTACGGCCAACCGCCAGGATCGCGACAGGCAACAGCATGACACTCGCGTCATTTATTGCCACATCGGGACCACTTAAACACACCAGTCAAAGACGCGGGCCGTGTTCCAAAATATACTCGATCTTACTCCAGGGTAAGGGTTTCGTACCCTTGGCGTTCTAAAACCTACTCGCGATTTGGAACACGGCCGCGATCCAGGCACCATAATGTATGTGTCGTTGGCACTGATCTCTATTGTCATTGAGATCAGTGGTCGTTGGTATGTGTGCCGTAGATGGACGTATGGCGCCCAGATGGCGCCCGTGGCGCCCAGGACTCCGATGGCGCCCAAATGGTAGCCGTTCCCTTTGAATTTAGATGGGGCGGTGGGTTGCGCCACCTAGGCAACTAGTATCCCTAGCGCTAGATGAAATTATGTTCAAAACGATTTAATCAGCCTTTCCCTCGATTTTAACCACCATTACTTTATTATTTTTATTTTATTTCAATGTTTTGTTTCACCGTCCACATCGAATCCCAGGGCACCGAGGAAGTCAAGTGAGCTTCACTGCACCTCTTCGTGTAGATCTTTGACAAGATCCGCAAAATCCTTGGGCAGCTTGGGCCAGAGGCTTGGCTCTGGCTTGGGCATTTACATTCCATAGGTGGCATATCATAATGACGACGACAATGATGATGATCAAGAATCGATAGGTGAGTGGCATTTGACAACTACCGGTTCCTTAGGAAATTTTGTCTAGCTGTTGACAAACGACGACAATGTTCTGCAAGCATGTCAAGCATAGTTCTGAAAACTACAGCCTGGAGGTTTCAGAATTATGCCTGCACAGGCTCACAGCTCATTGTCGCCGTTTGTCAACAGTGAAACAAAATTTCCTAAGGAACCGGAAGTTGCCAAACACCGCTCACCTATTTTATTAGGTGCCCAAGTTGAGCGCCCAGGAACAACCATTTATTTCAAAATGCACGACTGGGAAAACTGGGTCTTCTCGTAGCGGATATCTTCATGCACGACATTGTCCATATCACACGAGCGAATGACGTTTTAATGAATAGCGGTCATTTGAGCGAAACGACGTCTTAGCGAATCACTGGGGTGCATGTTAACCCACCTTCGGAAAAGAGTAGCGCAGAGCCGTGCATTGGGGAATTGGGCCATTCATTGGTTTGAATGGGTGAGCATCTCGTGGCCAACCACAGGCCGCGAAAGCCCCTAGCGGTGGTCGTAAGTTCTAAAAATGCGACTCGACTAATTTAAGCCGTTTTAGCATTGCTAGATTATAAAGGTATAACTTTTGGTAACTGAAAACTTGGCGCATGTGAGGTTTTCGTCACGTCCATATTCAACGAATTTGCGCTCCAAACCAGGGCAAGCTGTGCAGTTGCGATCATTGCTGCTGATTTGCTATTGACGCCATTGTTACCAAGACGCGGAGTTTGAATGCTTCTATTTCACGCTTTAAACGTTGTCTCCAATATTGCAACGTTGCAGTCTGCTGATTGGTCAATGCTGTGTCGCATTATTAGTTTACATTCTAACCATGGGGGCAATATTTGGTGCTGGCGGCGGCTTTTGCTCCGCCCATTGGTCAAACTCTCCCAATATATACGGCTCTGGAGTAGCGCAATCTAGAATGCCACCTCTCGGCAACTGGCGGTGAACGCTCGGAGGTTCCAACTTTGGTCGCAAATGCAAGGGGAACCGAGAAAATTGTTTTTTCTTCAATATTTCGGGGATGTACGGAATGACAATAGTTTTTGGCATAATAAAGGAACATTTTATAATAGTTTGTGCTAAATTGTCTGCCACGTAAAAACATAATTTTTTAAAAAATGAAAGCCGCTCACAACTCCTGTAATGCTGGATTAGAGCGCAGCTCTTGAGGAGGAGGAGGGGAAGGGTACTGAGGGGAAGGTATATCCTTCCTCCCTCCTCCTCATCCTGTCTGCTACCCTTCTTCCTCATCCTGTCGCCATCGCCTCACGAAGGTCACGTGACCTCACAGGGGTCACGTGGCCTGTTGGGAGTCACGTGACGATGACGTCATCAGTGACGTATCTGATAACATCATCATCACTAGTGACATCATCAGTGACGTCACTGATGATGATGTGGATGACGTCACCGATGATGTCATCAGCATCGTCATAGTCACTCATGACGTCATCAGTGTTGTCACACGTCCCATAATGCACCACGCGGTTACACCGATGGCGACGCTGACGCCGCTCAAGCCGGAAACGGGCGCCCAAGAGCTGCGCTCTAAAAAATTGCCGAGCGGCATTATGCAGCAGACGACGTGGCGACGTCACATTGTTCACGTGACCTGCTACGGCCAACCCAAAAAGTCCATCTCCGCTGCGTAAAACAATCGCCTGCTTCAAATGCCATTGCCTTAGAAATCGCCTTCTCAAAATTTTCACACACATCTAATATTATGAAAACTTTTATAAAGTGTTTAGTGCTTTACTAACTATTTTCGAAAAGTGTGAACTCAGCGTTTATTTTTTAATCAGCTGTGTTGTGTCGATCTTCATGGAACCGTGAGTACCACGTGACTCGCACCGAGCTGCTCTGTCAGCCATGTTGTCAGCAAAACATGCTGATCAAAGGATTGCGTTACTCTGCTCCGTAGGAGCTATATAGTGCTCTAAACCCACTTACCAGGGGGGTGGGCCACCCGCCACCCCTTGCATATTCGTGCCGCTTCACGGCGACAGTCTGCGGCGGCTCATTACGAAAATGTTAACCCACCTGTCCATCGGCGCACCCAGGATTTTTGTCTGAAGGGAGGATTTCTGGAAAACTTGAAAACTGGTTAGAAAAGCTACGCACATTTTTGTAGTGCGAGCTGCACTGGCCGAGGTTGAGCAGTTTCGCTTGGCTCGCATAATGAGCCGTGCTCCGTGCTGCGCATGCGCGAAGTGCAGTGACGTCACACAGCTGGCGCGCCGGTCAGCACATTCCAGAGGAGCGACATCAGAGCTGCAGCAGACGCACTGGCGCCGCCGCGTGCCCAGCTGTGCGCCTCCGTTGAGCAGTAGTTAAGTCTGACCCTGCACCGGAGCCACTTGATAGCGCCTCTCATTTTGTGCGCATAAGCTCACGCGACGTATATCCAGGCATAGGTGAGCTAAGCCACCGTAATTTTTTTAAAAATTTATTTATTTGTGGGTTATAGTTTGCGATTAAACTAACTTCGACGTGCTGTGTTGAGATTGCCGTGTTGTATGTGCAACTTGTAAATCAACCAGTTTCGGAATTACTTCGCCTGCACAAATTTTTATGATCCGTGGTGTAGTCGTTACTATGGGGTGAATTATTTGCGCGACATGATTATTTTCAAATCGCGAAATTGGCGAAACATAGGCCTTTATGACAACCAAATTGTTTTTACTATATACTCCGTTCCACATAACTTCGCAGATGACAAAAGCTATGGCTCTTGTCCCCACAACACTTATTAAAATAACATTTCAAAAACCTCAAATTGCTCCAGATTAGCAGGTCTCAAATGTTTATCTATTAGATAAACATTTATTGAATAAAAATGAAGCACATAAAATATACAGGAATATACAGAAAGGCCAAATCACTTTTTAAACAAATTCCGGTGTACATAGTACACAGGTACAATACAGTGGTGCATTTGTTTAGCAAAAATATGGGATGATTGGTTCACTAGGGGCATAGAGACAAAAATCTGCATTTTCCATACTTTGATGACATGTAAACAAAATGATTTTTGGGTCACTGCCATGTTTATTTTGACAAACTGGATAGAATATCTAAGTAAATTTTGCTTACTTTCAATTACACCATTTTTGTATTCTTTATACAGAGTGTCTCAAATAGCAGCCAGGCTCTTTAAATAAACTGCAAAAATGGGTTTCTTAACCAATCACATTACGATTTTGTGCAGCGTAGCCCCCAGGTGGTGCATTTTTTCTATAAAATTTGCAAAGAGCATACTTACACGAGGAAAAAGTAAAGGAAGAAAAAAGCTTAACTCCTATGGAGCAAAGCCACCGGTCTTCAAATAATGTGGAGCGCACGTTTGTCTGCTTCTTTTGCAGAAGATGTGGTGACGCCAGAACGACGCCGAGCTCCGATTGGCTCTGATTGAAAAATAGTGGGTAGACCTCAAAGCAAGCTGCCTTGAGGTCTGCCCACTATCCCTCCTTGAGAGCGAATGAGAGCTCGACGTCATTCTGACGTCAAAAGAAGCAGACAAACTTGCGCTCCGCATAGAGCGCCGTTTGGCACCGGAGACAAGAGATGGCGCAAGCTGTCGCGACGCCAAGTGCTGCCAACGAACGAGCACACGGCGCTGAGAGCCGGCAACAAATTGCAGACAATCTTTTCGACTCAAAAGCGGCACAAGCTTTTTCGATGTCGGTTGCCAATGCATGATTTTATCATCCTTGCTAATAAAACACATTGATGGGCACATAATCAATTAAAAAATGAGTTGTAAAGTTATTTTGACCGCTTTTTTTTTTTTTCCGTGGTACTTATGTTGTTTGTTTTGCAGTCCCTTGTTGTTATAGCGCCTGTTTTTGGTTCCGAGACTGTCGCCGCCTTCGGAAAGCGCGCCGCATTTGAGTCGAAAAGATTGTATGCCGGCGACGCCTGCTCTCGGCGCCGTACGCTTGTTCGTTGACGGCAGTTGACGTCGCGACTGCTTGCGCCATCTTTTGTCTCCCGTGCCAAATGGCGCGCTATTGTTTGACGACCAATGGCTTCGCTGCGTTTCCAAAAAAGTTAAGCCTTTTTCTTTTTTGACTTTTTCCTCAGGCAAGTTCGCTCTTTACAAATTTTATAGAAAAAATGCACCACCTGCGGGCAACGTTGCACAAAATCGTAGCACGATAGTTTAAGAAACCGTTTTTTGCGGTCGATTTAAAGAGCCTGGTTGCTACTTGAGACACCCTGTAAACGTCGCAATGCCCCAATACGCCATTTGATGATTTTTTTTTTTTATTGATTTTATAACCCAAAAACTATTTCATTTATTTTTTTTTACCTGAGGGAGTTTATATTTGTATTCAATGAATTCACTGCTGTACTTTATTTTCACTGCGATTGTGGCATTATTTTTCTCTACCTTGCACTTGGGACCAGTTGTTCCGGGACCATTTCCTAGTTGTTTTGTGTACATTATACAGTGTTGTCCGAGCTGTAGATGAGCCATTTAGTCAGTGCGTCAGAATTAATTGGGTGGCTAGTTGGTTGAGTTAGTCAGTGCGGTACAACCGCTAGCCTGTGGTTTTTAATGTGCACCACACAGTAGTGACACACAACTGCACACCGGTACAATGCTCAGGCAGACCAAAACGAGCAGGGGCGGGAATTGAACCCAGAATCCCCGGGTTCTGCAGTGCGAGCCTTCGGTCCCCATGATCCTAGCTGGTGTGCGCAAGCTCACTTCGCCACCGATCCCCCCGACCATTTTCTTCTACACCCGCCTTCAGTGCTACAGAATAAAGTATTACGAATGAACGCTGTCTAGCCATAATGAGGTATAGCATGTTCTCACAAATGTCCAATACTGCGATCATGATAGTGAGGGAAGTGGGCAGCCTGAATTTCGTAAAGGTTCCAACTCGTAAGACAGAAATGTATGTTTTCTCTCACCCAACCAACCTTTGGCATCAAATAACAATAATAAAAAAAAGCTCTTGAAGGGGAAGAGTTTAACCCCCCCTCCCCCGTCAGTGCACCCACTGCATCTGACCCACCCGTAAACGTTGCTTTGCGGCGGCTGACCGCTAAAGTGTCTTCCAATGAAATGTTGCCGTTCGCTAAAACGTCGTTTGACCAACTGAGTACCACCCCTTATCAGCGTTGCGAGCTAATCCGAGGGACACACAAACATGATTAAGTTATTTTTGCTACTTTTGTGAGAGACGCACAGACGTTCCAACATTTACCAGTTCTTAAAAAGTAAAGATGATGAAAGAAACATAAAATGATGGTACAGGCCCTTTTTGTAATAGGCCTTTGAGGTATCTTGAATAAGGACAGGTCAAAGAAAAGTGAACCATGTACAACAGGCATACGAAATATATAAAGCACAAAGAACAGACCAGGACAAAACAGGCGGGACAGAGGTATGTCTTCGTTGCTCTTTTGCACTTTATATATTTAACATTTTGGACAAAACCCCGAAATGTTAAACCTTCACCAGCTTGTCTGTGCCCTAACTTTTTGTTTGTTATATTTTTCGTATGTTGAACTAACCAGCCCACCTTAATATTTAAGTACATTTCCCAGCAGGCACACTCAATTTATTGACAATTGCAAATGTCTTCCACAGTGAAAAAAATACTACAAACTTGTATGAACTAAATTGGATTGTTCCAAAGCTCCAAGATGAACATTGATTTGAATGAATCCAGTCAATTCTATGAACATGAAGCTGCGAAAGCAGGTTCACTTTCGTTGATTATAATTTATATTGAGCGAACAGAAAGCAAGCTATATCTGCTTTTGCAAATACCTCGTCAACAAGTTTGTAGGAACTAAAACCCTTAAAACAACCTTCTTGGAAAATCGTAAAAGCAACATTAACAAGCAAAAATGCTCTCACTTCATCAACCAGGCACTTTCCAGAGTATGCTTTCCAAACAGTATTAGACCACTTTTTATTTTTTCTATAAAAGCAGGAACAACCATACACACACACATGCACGCAATAGCAAACAGGCGTCCAAAATATAGTTGGCGACAGGATAAGAATAAAATGGAAGCTCCTCCCATCTTACTCTTTACCCGCCACCGACATAGTTCCGATTATCATAAATACCCCGCGCAATACGGCGCAAAAACATAGGTATACAAGCACCACAAATGCTCCAGAATCACCCAGCATTGCCCGAAGCAAAGGTGTCACGGCGGTACTGGAATCGAACGCTCACCCGCCTCGGCCACCGGCTCCATTTTGGAGCCGGCATCCCCTTCCTTGCACAAGGCGTTGTTCTTTGGTACACTGCTCACTGTCTTGGCCACGGAGCTTCGAACAACCTTACGGGGACTTCTTTTCACTGAGGCCTTCTTAGATGCCCTCGCCAAAAAACTGGAACCTCCGTCGAGCGTCTGCGGAAGACAACTGATTTTGTGCGATCTCCTAAGAAGACGCCGAGCATCACGCTGGACCGCCGAAGTGTGTTGCGAGTCAGCAGTCCTTACAACATGGCTGTCGGAAAGCAATTTGCGCGACTTTCGAATCCGGCTACGAGCATCAGGATGCACCACTGGAGGGTGCTGCGAGATGCCAGCCCTCTCGACGGAGCCGCCGGCAGGCGGTGCCAGGTGCTGCGGAGACCTTGAGTAGCGTGACCGCTGCCTGCCGGCATAGGGCGTGTGTGGCGGCGATTCGTCCGAGAAGTGAGGCGGCAGCGTCGAAGGGCTCTTAGACGGCCATGCCCCGACGCACTCCCCGTAGTCGGGCGACGCAGTTCCTAGGAGTTCCTTCCGACTCCTGCGCCGGTGTCGACTCCCGTGGCCGTGGCTGGACTGTTTCCGGCCGTCGCGAGGCGGAGTGTATGACCTCGAACGTGACCTTGACCGGTGGCGCGGCTGTCTCCAGACGTCGTGAGGTGGAGTGTATGACCTCGAACGCGACCTCGGCCCGTGGCTCGGTTGTCTCCGGACGTCTAGAGGCGGAGTGTATGACCTTGAACGCGACCTTGACCCTTTGCTCGGCTGTTTCCGGCCGCCGTGATGTGGAGAGTGTGATTTCGAATGCGACCTTGACCTCGCCGCTCTGTACCTCTTGTTGTATGGGCTTTGTGCGTCCTCCCTTCGCCCGGCAGGAGAGTCCCACCTCTTTTCCCTGGGGCTTGGGAGTTCCGCGAGGTATCTCCGCCTTTCCGCACTCGCGGGTCTTCCGCGCTTGTGTCCCCTGCGGTTCGCTGCCGCCTCTTTCAGAGCATGCGCAGGTCTTACGCGATCTATGGTCTTCCTGATGGGCCTTCTTCGAATGTCCGGTACGGGCCTGCGCGGACCTTTTATGTCTTTTGGTGTGCTCTTGATCGGACGGACGCGCCTCTCCTGCGGTTTGGCTTCTCTGGTCGGGACATCCAGGGGTTCCACATTGCTGTACTCCGTTCTGTCTGAGGACTTCACCTTGCGGTACTTGTAGAGGCGCTGGAGGTCCTCCGAGAGGTCGGCTTTCGGCTTTTCCGGAGCTTGCTTGGCCGTCGGATGTTTAGCGTGCCCTTGGGGTGGTTGTCTAGGAGAAGCCTTCTCCGGATCAGGCCGTGCAAGAGGGAGTGGCGGAGGTGGTTCCCGAAAACCGTTCAGCCTGTCCGTTCCACCTTGGTTGCGTCTGAAGATCAGATTGTCCAATCTGGAAAGAGTTGCGGTCAAAGTTGGGGGTTTTACGTGCCGAACCGAGGAATGATATCTGGTGAAAAATGTTACAGATGTGACCCATTGCAATAAGTTTAAATACCAAATTCTCCCATGTAAACTTTACACATACCATTTTATAGCCTGTGAAAGGAGGCTGGAGAAAGTTTTAGTGGAAATGCCAAAGCTGTTTCGCCTCATCTTGGAGGACAGTCAAATGGTGGACAAGCATGAACAAGGCCCCAGGACACAATGTCACGGAACATCCAGACGCTTGCTAAGACTAGTGGCGGCAGCACAAGTGCAGAGAGATGACAAATGCCACGAAATTGCCCTTCCGGCAGTCCTCAATGGTCAGGTCAGCCTGCAGCATCAGCTGCTTTCACACGTAAGGCAAGATAAGAGCACTATCCAGGTGCATACCTTCACTCATGCACAAATGCATCCTAGATGTAAAAAGACACCTATCGGAGGTGCCGTGTTAACTGCCTGCATTGTCTTCCGAATCGGGACAATATTGTCACGAATGACAGGCGACGAGGAAGGAGAAAACAGAATGAACTAAAGATTTGATGGGGGTGAACTTGTGCCAGAAACGAAAAGGAAGAACACACGTCGAAAAAGCAGAAGCAGCGAGCGTCGACAGCGGCAGCAGCAAGCAACGGTGCGTCGGCGTAAGAGCTGGCTATCGCGAGAGAGAATCGGCAATACGGCGCTGGGCTCTTTATCTACTATGCTCGTCATCCCGGATATTCAACCATTTGATCTAGAATGTTCAGGGAAGAGCTAGGGCGTGACTGACGAGGCAAGGTCAATCTGGCCTCCTCATCTTTTCCGCTCAGGGCAAGAGTATACATGAACCTTCTAGACATTCATGTATACTCTTACGAAAAAGTGTACTTTCTCGATCTTGCATGTGATAATATTGTGCAGCAAACGCTGCAAATAGACAAAAGCAAAAATATAAGTTTTAAATAAGTTGTGCAGCTTCGTACAATGGCCCATTCTTTTCAAATTGAAATACCAGGAAAAAATATTAGCAAACAGAAACCGTCCGTCAGTGCTTATGCGAGCACATTTGCAAAGCGCACCTACGAATGAAACATGCAGCAGCTTACACCAGCTTGTTGGAAATGCAATGGAAGAAATTACACCGACTGCCAATGCAAGTTGCATTTTCCAAAAGGGCAACAACCTTTGTAAATGAAATTAATTTCTTTTTTGTTACACGGGGCGTGACAATATTATGCATGAAAATGTTATCGGAGTCAAGGAGCAGCACCTTAAAACACAAGCTTGTCCTGCGTCGTGCCTAGAAGACGTGCAGGCACTGACCACTCACTGTCAAAAATACAAAGACGTTTGAATACCCCGGGACCCAGCATGACGTCATGCTCAGCGACGCCGGAAAAAGAACTCGATCCCAGACTGCCTCGCACATCGACGCTTCTCTCATCGTCTGTTCCGTGCCTGTGGTCTGCTTCGTCTGCTTGCTGCCACAGCTGGCTTTCGATGCAGTCAATGCATTCAATGAGGTTTCGATGTGCACACGCAGCCACGGTACGATGAAAGGCAACAAACGCGCGCTGGGACTGGAGCCTCTACCACATTCTCAACCCAGTGCCATTCTCAGCGTTTGCGCGTATGGCACCCGATATGCTAGCTTTCCAAAGTCACGCTACGACGACTCGCACTAGACAATACTCCCAAAGCGCTGTCTAGAGCACCAGCTGCACACCGACTTACTGCTGGCCGGGCAAGTGTTGGACTCCAAATCACACCTGTTTGACACCAATTCAGCAAATGCCACCTAATTAATATGAGGCAAACAACCGTGTTTCCACGGCATTGCCATTGTTGTGTGCCCCATATTCCATATTTACATCGTGGCGCCTTAACCGAGTTTTTTTATTGGCCGAGAGGCTGGGGGTACATTTCATGGCCATGCCATACTGTATAGAGAACACAGATGCCACCTCCTGCCCACTATAACCTCCTTGCAAAAGTATCTCTCATTTTTATGCAGTCGCGCTCTGTATTTTTCTTTACCGTTTCTCTCTTCACCATGGGTGGACATTCTTTTGACGCTTTACAATATCTAAAGACACGGGAGAATGGGACCAAAGGCCGCTCCAAAGTGCAAGTGGGATGTGGCTCTGAAAAGAGCCGTTTGCTTCCGGGCACTGATGCTGCGACCGGATGAGCAACATTATTGATGGAAGTTGGTGCAGCCCAGAAATTCACATGGCTCCCATGGAACGGAGCCGACACCAACAGCTTGTAGCCCCAAGAGATGCCACCTGCAGTCATCTGTACTTTCAAAGGAAAAAATAAATGCGAGTGTAAAGTTGCCTTTCCTGTGAAATGTTAGGTGTGGACTCCTGTTGTCCCAACCAGACAATGAGTCGGAACTTTAGCGGAGGCAGCCTTTGGACAATATAACAATCCTGAGACATACCAGTATGTATTTGTTTCCTTGCCACTTTTCCGTTGTTAAAGACCCAAGACAACAACACTCAAACTGTTTGGGAGTGAACCATGGACAAGAGTCCACGGTTTACGGCCAAACTGGCAATCGTGGACTTGTCATAAATTAGTACTTTGCTTAGAAATCCCCGATTCCTTTTGAAAGGTTTTCAGCGATATAGCACAAAAAACTACCACTTCACAGCATTGCTGCAGGGATGGTCTGCATTTTTGAAGAAAAGTATGGTATAATCAGCCCTTACAGTTACAGGCAAGCGATCACTTGGGCCATTTAAAGAACCAAATGCTGCAAACCAAAGACATGTATCAAATTAATTTTTGTCTCCTTGCCAACCACTGGGATCATGTAACTTTCTATTATGTTTCAAAAATTTTCCGACTTTGGGCACGACCGTCATCTACTGGAAAGGTTTGCTCAAATCATGTCGATACAGAAATAAGGTGGCATCAAACATGAATTTGCAAACAGATAAACCCACTGGGCAGGCAGTCTGGAATGAAATAAAAGACATTGCCACTTAGCCCCATAGCCAGGGGGGAGGGGCAAGGACTTTGGTTAAAAGGGCCACACAGGAAAAAAATATCCTGGCTACGGGCTTGCTGCCACTATCTAGTAGCTATCACTAAACGTAAGCGTCCACACCGCTAGGTTTGCCCCCTCTTCCGCTCCCACCCAAGACCTCAAATTCCCCACGCCACTCACGACCTCTCTGGTGGAAACTTACTTCTGCCTAAGATTTGAGATCTCCTTGTCCTTGGACTGCAGCAGATACTTGGCTGTCCGGTACAAGATGGAGATGTTGTGCTTCAGCACGGCGTTTTCCTTCTTCAAGGCGGCCCAGGCCGTCACATCGATTGGTTTCGACAACGTGCTCTGCGGTTTGGCTGGTCCAGCGACCTGCACGAAATTATGGTGAAAAAAAAACAACAAATAAGGATCATCATTAGTTAACTTGTTACGGAAAGAATAAACAAAAGGGACGGACATCTTTTGACTTTCAACAACATGTAGCGTTTTTTATTAGATGTTGGCGTCGAGATCGGTGGACCATGAGGGAAAGGGGGAAGGAAAGGAAAAGTGAAACAAGGGAGGGAGAGGAGGGGGAAAGGTCAGGGCTGCAGGAGAGCGAGGATCTGTTAGCCTAGTACAACAAGAATCAATCATCAAACAACTTTTTTCTTTCACTTCAGTTTGGTTTTTGCATTCTTTTTTTCTCCTCAACTATGCCTATACTCCGCTCTACCTTACGTCCGGCCGGAGCCACTGAAGCTAATCTAAGGCCGTGCAAGGGTGACCTTAAAGGAGCTGTGCAACGATTTTAACATTGAAAAAAATTTGCATCTTCTACTTTTGACATTGTTTATCGTTTCACAAAGGACAGAAAACACATCTCTTTCCTTCAAAATGTTGTGAATCCGCCGCGTAATCGCGAGGCAAAACTTGGAATATTTCCCGACCTGCAGCCGCGAGCGGCGGCCATGAGAGGCGGCCATGAGAACCACGCGGCATGACGTCAATGAGGAACTTGTAAAAAGGTAGGAAGTCCTGCAAATACCTGCTCGATAAAAGGGAATTTTTCTATAAATCTTGTCGTTCCAACATAAATATAAATGCGTCAAAAACCTGGTATCATCGAAAAAGAAAAAACTTTCATTATACGGAATTTTAGTGGCTCCATCTATCTGAGGTCAACAAAACGTCAGCTCTAACTGCTACCGCGAACAGCCACCAGAAGCCGGAGGGGGCGGGGGCAGAGCCGGAAAGGGATGGCCAAACCTGGACAAAACCTTTCCTCCTCTTGCCATGTCGATCGCGCTGCTCAAGCACGTGGGCACGAGCAGGTGAGTTTTTGCTGCTCACTAATGGCTCTAGAGAGAGAGCTTCACCGAAACCCTGCGCGTCCCCCATTGACGTCACAGCGCACGTGACTCGGAAGATGGTAAAGGAGTTGAGAGATGCCAAAAACCTCAATCTTTCTCCCTTTTTAAATATAAACTAGGCCATTCAGTCAAAAGCGGTTTTTTGTTCTTTACTTTAGAAAGGTCGAGGCACCAACTCCCAAATTATTTAAGCAAAGCACTGAAATTGTTGCACAGCTCCTTTAAAGAGGTGGCGCAGAGAACTTATCACGTGCTACGTTCACCTACTGGACTGGCTGGGATGGCTCGTAGCGTCTGCTGCTACTGACAACTTAGAAAACGCAGGGCATGGCTCATTATGGTCACACTTCTTTCTTCGGCACTTTTATTGGCCAATCCTCAAATCTCGTTGGCCATATTAGAATGCTCAGACGATTCCTGAACTGTAAGCGACCAGAGGTGTATCATGGGGGCGGGTAATCCCGTTGCTCCGACAGGGGGGTTGAAAAATACAAGGGGCTGCAAGCATCAGACGTGATAAGACATATATCACTGCAGTCGACAGTTGCTTCGGGACCTGTAGTATGAGGGACCCACTAACAACCCGATGAGATAATCGCGCGCGGGAAAGGGTCATCCAAGTTCCCCACCGCGAACAACCGTTTAGCGGTCGCTGCTCACCGCGGTTTCGTTGGTATGGCTCGTCGCTTTGGTCGCGTCGCCTGCAGAAAGCAGCGCGCTGATTCCCCCCCTGATGGACTCGGCGGCAGGCGGCCGCGCTTGCACACACTGCTTCTTTTGCGGAGTCTTCAACCTCGGGATGACCGAAGTGTCCAAAAGATCGAGCTCAGGCGTGTCTTCTATGTCGGAAAAATCCCGTTTGGGCTCGATCGCCGAGCTTGGGTCGCGGTCGTGGAGGTCTTCATAGATGTCCATATCCGCGTCCTCGTCCATGACGGCAGTCACTGTGGGGTTGGTGTCCTGAAATGGAGTGAGCAGTGCGGATCATGCCACTGTACGCCCAACAATTATCTCCCAAAGTAACCCACACCCTTAGACCATAAGACTGACAGGAGAAATGCTAGGTTCTCACCCTGGACGAATGGGGTATCATCGTAGCCTCTCCCAAGACAGCTAGAGTTGCGCGAATAAACAAAAACAAAATAAAACACGCATTAAACCACGCGGGTCCTTAACATTTAATGTATCTACGACGTAGTGCAGACCACAATCCTCCTTCAAAAGCACCCGTAACACAAGCCCCAAATCAAAACCTTTTTTCCCTCCAGACACCAATGGCCGCCTCCTGCCGCGTCTCTTACGCCAGCGATTCGCGCCTTAACCAAATATTTATATAACTAACATTTTAAAATATATTGTTGCAACTATTAGGCTGAAATAAACATAGTTCCATTTGTAACGTAATTAAATATTTATTTAAACGTATTTCAATTTGTGTAACTTATTTTGTGCGTTCCTACTTTCTATGCGGGACTTGAAACACGACGACGCCAGCCGCACCGCTGGCCGCTCCCGTACCGTGTTGATATGAGCCGGCGGTGTTTCTAGTCGCGCAATGTTCCTCACGCGTGTGCTCTGCAAACTCGTACTGTGGTTACTACACGCGCTGCTCGTTGTTGCAGAGACGCTCTCGCTGATTAGACACCGCTTGCTACACAGGTTAGAGTATAAAAGTGTCTACAGCAACTCAAAGTTGGACCCGGCGAAGTTTGCGTGCTCTCCGAGCAGCGTTCATCGAAGCTTGCACTCCTTCTGCAAAGTTCCGAAGCACGTAGCGGTCGTAATTGGGGAAAGCCTCGTCTCTTACCGAGATGTCGCGAACCTTGTTGTGTGGTGTTTGTTCGCGAGGATACCTCACGTAACGCTGTACGACGTTGAAGGTGAGTGCGGACTTCTTTATCCCAACCGTCGATATCAACTTGAAGCGTTCCGTACGCTGTTGATGCGCCTAGATTTTTAAACACTTTTTTACGTTCGTTAGCGTTAAATAGCTCTGCTTTCTTTATTGTTATGAACGTCAGATTGGTGGTTCCACTCCCAGCGTTAAATGAATGAGGACGCAGATTTTGCCGATGATGCAACTTAAGTAGCACTTGAAAACTGCGACTTTTGAACGCCAATAACAACTTTCTACGTGGCGGAAGTAGTGCGAAAACAAAACTGGTTTGCTAGTCGATTTTTAACGATAATATTTAGCCGCACTTCTTGTCCAGCTGGGCATGTACGTCGTAAATCGCAACCCGTTTCCAATTCTACGAAGGTGGCGGTTTTTTAGTACTTACCTTTTTTCTTGTCGCAGGAGTGATGAAGAAGAACTGGTCGGAGCTGTACAAAGAAGTTTTGAGAAGTCAGAAGAAGCACTTCGGATCCTGCGACACAAGCAAAGTTGTGCTTTACGTCGAGGGAAAAGAGACGACTGAAAAGAATGGTAAGGCGCCAAAGTTAGAAACCTTAGGCTACATTGCTGATGTGGCTTACCACACGGTCCAGGATGGGGCGAACATGGAATATGGGTGATCTCCTTCAAACATTGCGTAAGCTCATGCCAGCCAACTGTTTTCATATAAACCGTAAACACACAACAGTATTTGTGAAATCCGACATCTTTCGATCATTAAATGAACACCAAAACAACACTAAAAGGACAAGGACAAAGTTGTGAAGAAGTGAACATGACAAGGGTCGGTTATCACTCAAACATTTGCTGAAAATAAATGGCACCATATGCTTGTTTTGTCCACTTTTCCCTGTTTCTTTTTTTTTTTTTGGTTTTGGTGCTCATTTGGTTCTTATTCAAATTCATGATTAACTCGCCAACAATTTATAACTCGTCTTTTTTTCTTTTCTTGTCGCCAAATTCAAACAAGTTGTGGAAAAAAAAATGTTGGATGAATGCGAAAATTAAAAAAAGAAATGTTTACTAAGACAAACTTGTGCTTGCAACCAAATGAAAAAAAGAAAAAAGCCATACATCCCTTCAGCTCTGTCAAGGGGGCAACTGACCACCTCGCTTGGCAGGCCACTGCTTTTTACACCTGATTGGTTCCCTTTTCTAGTTACTCCATACTCGTTTTCATCCCCAACAACCTTAGTAAAAACTATTTGACTCATCACAGAGCATTATTGATTTCCTTTTTGATGTGGTGAATTAAGATACTTGTGTGTACGTTTGAGATCAGTTACTTGTCATTTTACCGAAATGTAAGCATTTTGAAGTCAAAAGGCATAATTTTCGTCCCCTGAGGACCAACCTTGTGAAGTAGTACAGGCTATGTGTAAAACATGCTTTTTCTTTGAGACAACGAGTTTAGAAGGCTCTCGAGAGTCTCCAGATTATCAGTAGCGGAATCCACTCGAGGGAAGAATGACTCTGGCATGCAGCCAACTGAGCCAAGCGAACTTGGGATATGCGGCACTGTAGTGTTGTAAGATCATATCACTTTCATGATCATAGATGGCAGATAATCTATGGATCTTGTTGAGGAAATTTGCTTTGCCCTCTTCCCCATTTTCATTTGGGTCTCATTGAGATGGATCGAAGGCCGACGATTAATGTGGCTACCATCCCCTTTAAAAAGCCCAATATACACTGCAAATCACAGTAAGCGCGAACTTGATTTTGACGCTTTTTCCGGTTTGCTCAGACCAAGTATTGATCAACACCAGCTGTTCTGTTGTGCATTGAGCACAGTGCACAGCACCACAAGTTTCTATGAGTCTTTCATTTGGGAAGGACGAATTAAAAGAAATAACTGGCGATGGCTTGCCTGTGCTGTGTCAAATCAAATCTAATCCCTACAGAGGCAGTGGCAGCAGCAATGGAAAAATATACACTAAAGAGTTAGGAAGTAAAAGAGTTAGTGAAAATGCAAAAGGGCATGTCAGGAGTAATGGGTGGAAGTGTTAAACAACATTAAGAAACTGACTTGCTCATGCTCTGAACAATCAGAATGGAGGAAACCCATCCTCCTTTCTATGGGTTTCCTCCTTTCTCCAGTGTGCTGGATATGGGCAAGGAGGAGGGGAGAATGCTAGAAGGAAACCCGGAATTCTTTTTCGGGAAGACAGGAAATGATTGTGCACATGAGGGTGCAGATTTTTATTTGGGGACGATAAAGATACATTTTCACCTGTCTGCGCATCTTCGGTGTGGTGCTCGGGAGATTTTGATGCATGTTTTTCAGAGCCCTGCCACAGTGTCCTATCTCCCACCCCCTTTCAGGTCGGAATGGCTACACTCACCACGTGCACGTGCGCTTGGCCAGCAACGAGGACGGTCGGCCCCTCTTCGCTAAATTTGCGCGCAAGTTGTGCCAGGAAGTGAAGGAAGGGCGACTTTCTCCCAGTGATATTGTGCCTGACCTAATACAGAAACAAGTTTCAGGTGTGTGGTCCACTTTTTTTGAGGCATTGTCATTTTTCTTCTAGAGTTGGCCTTACACTGAAAAAAACAATGTAATACATAAACAGACGAGTCCTACTTTTCCGTAATGTACAGCGCTGTTTGCCCACTTTTTCTATTTGTTTGCCTGTACTTCACCCGTTTTTATGTATTTCTTTTTCCGTAACTTACTAGCAGCTAGCCCAAATTGATGCCTTGCTGGAGTTTGACGATAGAAACGGCTGGCCTCATGCGCACCTTGTTTTTGTGTCACCTGGTGTCGTGAATGAACTGTGGGTCAACAGCAATATTGCAAAGTTGTTGCAGTAGTTTGCGGTAACAATTTTGTTGTATACATCAATTTCAAGCGGTTTTAATCGACAGGCTTGTGCTTGTACACTTCATAGAATTGCGTCCAACTTATCGTTTTCTTCGTCTTCACATTTCAACTCCATCACAACAGCAGCTTTCTTCATTTGTCATTGTTTGGGGGCATCACCACTTGAGTGGTGACTTCTCAACCATTTTACCACTTGATCAGTTTTATATGCCTTAGCAGAAATCATGTGTTCTGGTGTTTCTCAACATGAGTGCTCTTTTGATGTTATTTTACTTCCTGAAGTTTATTTATGTTGCACATGCTGATGGCAGTCTCTTCAACAGAGGATGTCCTCCCCCTCACATGGAAATACATCCAGGAATTTTAGGAACTATAGTTATTGGACTTCCTTTCACTTGTTTCTGGCACTGTGAATGTCGCTGCAGTCATTGCAATGATAATCACCTTTGATCAATTTATTTCACCAGAGTGGTCAACTAATAGCAGTAGTGCATATCGGGAAGCATCATCTGATATCCCTACAACATACTGCGGATGTCTCATTCCCTGAGCTGCTGTACCAATACAGTTCAGTGTACCCAAAAGTGTAATGCTAAAACACTTTTTATTTGCTTTTTGAAACTTTAGTTTGCTTTATTTCATGCCCAGGTGATTGGCCAGATCCAGACATTCTTCTCAGATTTGGCAAAGCACACAGTGTCTTCGGCTACCAGCCTTGGCAGCTGCGGCTTACAGAAATTATGTAAGCACCTCTGATCCCTTTTGTATTGGTTTTTTTCTTAATTGTTATATTGTAAGAAAAATGAATTTATACAAATTAAGGTTTTGGCATGGTCATAGTAGAGGCAGCTCTCTACAAAGTGTTAATGTCATATTCTTTGGAGAAATACTTTATCAACGATATCACATAGTGGAAGCTTGGTTGACTGAAGTTTCAGGTATGTTGTCCCCTTTTTTTTGTTTCAAGAATGATAAAATTGCAAAAGCCTCCATAAGCCTTTTGCAATTTTAGACGTTTTTTTTATTAGTCGTCTGGCTGTTTGGTACTCAAAAGGTTCTTATTCTTCCGTGTGCCCACAAATCCGGGGTTAAATTGACCGCATATATCAGCTTGGTAACTTATCGTGCTACGATTGACCACAGAGGTGCCCGATCGGGGTAGAAGCATTGCATCAAAGTTTCAAAGAACAAATTTACCTCAGTAAAAAGTAAAAAAATAATAACCGATTTCACCTACCTACAGCGCCCACTGCTATCCACACACCTTCCGACTGGTGCAACAATCGACAGGTGGCGGCAGCACGGCCCCGGTGGCTTGCGGCATCTCAGCAGCCGTCCGGTCGCGCCTAACTAAAGCAGATGACATGTTGCTGAAATCACTCAACGAATTATTGGTTTTATTTGCTTCGTGTCTACTTAATCTGTTTTATTGGGAATGAAAAAGATATCATGCACTGACCATTATAGCACCAAAAAGTGCACACCGTTAAGTTTAGAAAACATTGTCTGCTTTTGGCGTGACAGGGCGGCTGCTGAGCCGACGCCGGGGCCGCTGCCGCCAAGGAAGAAAACAATCTATAAAAGACGTCAGCAATATTCATACGTGAGGGCCTAACATTGCACAACTTTTGTCATGGTAAGGAAGTTGCACACACACTTACTTCGCAAGAAGTACTAGCCAGAACCTCTCCTCAAGTTTCATGTACTGCTGTGGTGCACATTACAAAATACCTCGAAGTTGGCAAGCATGCGACTGTCACGTGGACGAATGGGGTTCAAACCGTGCTTGGCCTAGTTACTTCTCGAAACTAGAACACACGGTAGCTTCTTGGTAACCGCTGACCGTTTCCGACCTCGGGTAATCCGCTTTGCGCACCCTACCCCCCCTTTCTTTTTTCCTTCATCTGCACCTCAACCGGGCTTGACATCACCTTTCTCTCCTCCTCCTCCTCGTAGACCTGCCCGATTTTTTTCTGTTTTAGCTTCCTTTGCTGAATGTGATTTAATTGCATTGAATATGAAGGCTTACTAATTGTGGGGCACATTTCAAAATATTTCGAAAATAAAATTAACCCCACCAACTAAAAACAACAAAAAAAAGTTTAATTGGAAAGGGTAGCAGTTCCAGGAGCCCTATATACCCTGTTCACCTTTAAGCTTACAGGGCACCCAAGGCTCAAAGCAAGGAGGGAGTGCTAGCTTGCACTTGTAGCCCTTCGCTACTCCCTCAGCTTTTGGTGAACGGAGTATAGACGTTCTCGGTTTCCTGTCATTCTCAGTCACGTGGGTTCCATATGTGATATGCGGGACGAACAAATAACAAAACATTTCAACCTGGAATATGCCAGAAAATATAGGTGAGGCAAAACAAGAATGTGTGACAATCACACAATTTTCGTAAACACCTTCCAGCGGGTGGAGAGATCAAAACAATGTTTTACCACATACCAGAAATGGCGACATTGAAGATAACTGTACCCTTGTGGAAAAGGCGTATATAAGGAATGACCAGGCCATCTTTTCTCTTAGTGCTATTGTTTTCTTCCAGTTATGCTGTTCCAGCCCAAGGGTTTGATTTTGGTCTCCACGAGAGTGAAAGCGAGAGCTAATTTGCCTCTTGCAGAGCGAGCTAAGATGGTGTTTGTAGATGGTCCGTCTGCTACAAAGCGTCATTTGCACACGAAAATTGAATAAGAAAACACGGTATGTGGTCTGCTAAGAGACCAAAAAAGAAAGTTGGATCATTTGCCCTGAAGCGAGTGCTGCGGCAAGGCGAGATCGGACGCAGGCTAAAAATACGATAGTCTGCTATTCCATGTTGGAAGCCGTTGACAACTCGCGCTTCGTTCGCAAACCTCGAGTCGTTCTGCTTGCTGCCGTAGTCAAGCCGGCATTGACCGGTGGATGAAGAAGTTCTAAGCACAAGCACATCAGGGGCGGCGAGACTTCGCTATTTGTATGTTGGCGAAACATTACCACCAAAATATTACCAGATTTTGAGCTTGCAAATGGGTCAGAAATGCCTCATTGGTCGACTGCATGCAAGCTGTTGCACCACGTCCAATCAGCAGCCAAGAACGTTCTTGCCTTGACCAAAATCGGACCCCAGGTGCATGCATTTTAATAACTGAAACTAGGAAAGTTTTGAGCGTGTCAAGTATTTTACCCCATTTCAACGATTGAGTGATGTGATTGGTCTCAGTCATTTTGGAGCGCCTTTCGAAGCAGCCATTAGTCCATTTTGTATCCCTGAAAGGAACTTTTGGAACAGAGGTCTGCACTTAATTTTCATTCATACCACTGCGACTATTATGTTCAGATTCATGGGCTGGCCTACCCAACTAAAAGGCAATGTCTACCTTGCCTGTGGAGATCTCTCCTGTACAACTCTTTTGTTAGCATCAACTGCACAGCAGGTTTGATTACCTCAAACACGGAACTAGCTGTTTAGTTGTGCGTAGAAGCAAAATGAACGGCAACAATATGCTGATTAGTGAACGACAGTATGAGCTGTTCTGAATGGTTATTTTAGATATGGAATCAAAGGCAAACCTAATAGTATATGTTCAACTGAAATGATGTGAGACTAGAATAATTTCGAGCAGCTAAATCAATGTTTCGTTCCAGTTTTAAGGTGTAATAAAACTAGAAATATTTATTCTGATAAAATCTTTTGCCATTTCATCATGAATGTCAATAACGTTTTATATGTAGAACTTCACGATAACAAAAATCAGCACACGAACGATAAATATTTCTCATTAAATACAATTCCACCAAAGTCGCTAAAGGTTCACTAAAGACATTTCTGAGACTGTCTGTTTTTGGTGATAACCTATCTTACGGGTTCCAAGCATCCCAGAAATACAAAAATTTGGCTCGTGCGACGTCTATTTCCCTACTAAAAATGTCAGTGAAGTTTGTACCACGCCTCTTTCTGAGCGGAAAAGTCTGGAGTACAGAATCTAATGGAGGCGCCGGCGGCTTGACGGCGGTTGCACATTAGCCAGTGCAAGCCGTCTCTCTCAGAAAGGCGGCTTGCGATTGGCTGATTCGTGCCCGTTGTCATGCCGCTGATGCCTCCGCCGAGTTCTGTGATTGAGATTTTTCCGCTCAGAAAGGAGCGTGGCACAAACTTCACTCACATTTTTAGTAGGGCAACAGATGTCGCACGAGCATAGTTTTTCGATTTTGGGGATACTTGGGTTACATCAAAAAGATGGAACCCATATAAAGGCGATAACTAAACACAAGAGTTGACAAGACAAAAACCTACAGAGCAACCCGTATAAATCTTCTCACAATACTTCAACAATCGCAACTTCAAGAAGTTACCGTCAGAATATTGCAGTCTATCATATATACTAGACACAGTTTTATTCAGACATCGCGTGTAATTTATCCATTCTGGAAAAGTGCACTTGGAATGGGGAGCATGCTGGTAAGGGTAATATAAATAACGGAAAAACATAAAAAAAAAACTAGGGCGGATTAGACGTTTCCCAAAGTGCTTTCTTCTTAGCACACGGGTGCGCTGCAGAGAAGCAAGACATGCAAAATTGCGATGACTACTTTGCAGTAATTGCTCTGCTGCAGTAGACCAGTGCATGGAGAGAAGCACAGGGCGAAGCTAACCCACCAGAGCAAACCCCAAATGCTAGAAATATTGTGAAACGTCCAAGTACTGTCAGTGTTTGGTACAGAGATTAAATCAAATTTCACATTGTTTAGGGCGATAACCGAAAGTTCTGAAAATTTTCGCAAGCCTACCACAATGATCAGGCCATGTAGCCGGGCCTGAGCTATTATATTTTCAGTATTAATAAAGTGAAATTCATTTTGGTGCAATGCTGGCAGAAATTCTTCACTTTTGGCTAAATGAAGGAGGGTGTAGCAAGGTATGCACTTTGGCACAAATGGCACAGCAATCACGTCACTGACAATTAAAGGGTCTTTTGGCATCTGGAGGTAGTTATGTGGAACAAAGACACACCTGTATCTGATCAGTCTGGGTTCTCTTTCTTCCTGCCCTTTCAGAAGCCTGCCCACTCACCACAACCTTAGGCTGTCGGAGTTCCTGGGTGCACTTCGCACGTACGACAACCGGGAACAACGGTTTGGGAAGTGACTGTGATTTCAGCCCACTGCAGACATTACCGGTGAAGCCCACCGGCAACACACACCTCATTGGGAGTGCAGTGCTTCCAGCCGTTAAAGAAAAAAAAGGACATTTCTCATCTGTCGTTGGGTACTTACCGGCAGTTCCTGTCATTTTCGTTACACCTGCTTTAAAACTGTTACACTTTATAACATTACCGGCAAAATCTGCCACATGTGGTACGATTAAAAAAAATGTTTGTTTAATCCAAAAGTTTTGTTTAGTAATGATTGGTAACTGCTGTAAATATATGGAGTTTTTTTTTCCAAGCATACATACATTGCACCTCTGGCTAAGTGTAAATAGTTGGGGTGCGAACCCTCCGGTTATTGTCTTTCTTTTGGGGTGGGGGTGGCCAGAGTGAATGGTTGAAATCTGGCAACTGGAGATTTTGTGTGACTGAAGTAAATGATTGCAGTTTCCTCGATTTCCTTTCCAACTGTCATTCTTCGACCGCTTTCTTAAACCACCCGAGATGGGGGGGGGGGTTGAATGAGAAGAACCCAGTCTCGGGGGATTTAAGAAAACAGCAAATCTACACCAGCTCGCCTGCACCCTCACGGCTTTGTCATTCTTATTCACCAGTTGTTCCAATGACTTGTGTTCAAAGGCAAAGTTTTGCTTGGCTAGGACCACCTCCCGCTGCATTCCTTGGGATTATCGAGTCTCATCAATACTGGCTAGTAAATTCTGGGTGGTGTATATAAACTAAATATAACAGGGTGCATTCTGTGCCCCTTTGCAAGTAGCAACGTCCACTGCATTGTGCAGATCTTTTCATTGTCGAGGCTAGCATAGATTCCAGTTCTGCGGCCGAGCACTGTTGCGCGAGCACTTGGGTTCACCTAGCGTTTCACTTGCATGCACTCTTGGGCTGAGGAGACTCCAAACAAGTGAGCATGTTGCTCCATGATATATGGTACAAGCTTCTTTACCTTTTCTATCCAAGACTTGCTCTTGCAGACCTTGTCCGGAAGATGTGGTATGGCAAACAACTTTATATTTGAGGACTCAATATTTTGCAAATTGTGCGAAGTGCAGCTTTCGGGAATATTGCACGGGGATAAAATTTCGCAATTAGGAGGGGCATATTATGGAATCATTACCTCGAGGTGCAATAATGGTGCGATAAATCTTTTGCAATAATTTGCGTGAAGCTCAAATTGCAAAATTTAGGTACTGGTAAAAATAAGTCCATAGTATGTGCTTGGGCTCTTAGCAAGTTTTTATCGTTCCAAAACAACTGACCAGTCATTTTGAAGCAATCCCACATGTCCATTTTGCAGACTGTCATCTGCAAAATGCACATGTGGTATTTAGTTGCAAAAAGCTCTTACTATCGAATAGGATACTATTTTACGGCGAAGCTGTTATGGGCTAGGGTCTGGGGAAAAATGTGTCCCCACATGTCAACAGAAAACTCCCCATTGGTCGTGGCAAGTATGAATAAAAAAAAAGAAAAAAAAGAGGGCAACCAGCAAGAGTCAGCCTTCCTTGGCATTATTAGATAGTTAGGTCCCTATTCCTTATCAGCTCTAGGCATTGTCCTAGAAGTCATCCTCGATGTCAAATTATACGTCGTCCTTGAGGTTGTCCTAGAGGGCATCCTTGATGTCGTCCTCTAGGCATCGTCCTAGAGGTCGCCCTAGACGTTTTCTAGAAATTATACTCGAGGTTCATGTGAAGTGGATGGGCTCTAGAACATTTTTCTTTACCCTCACCAGAGAATGCCTCATCTGGGATCGAGACTAGAAAAGGAAAACCAGCTGGAGATTCGTTTCATTTTGCATATTTTTATTCAAAGACAAAAATAAAACGAAAGGACACTTCTTTATTCACCAAGAAAATGAACCAAGAAACAAAAAAAAAAAAGAAACCACTCGGGTCCTTTTGTGTTTTGGCAGGGTGAAATGATTTGAGAAGTGGCGTGCCCTGCCGCCATGTATGTACAAGATAGTCGCAATGGCTTCGTCTTTCACTGAGAATTTACCGTACTAGCGGTGCAATTAGTGCCGCGTGTGTGCAAGACTGCCGTTCACCGATGGCAGTGATACTTGACCGACTGGCTGATGCGTTCACTGAGTTCTCCAGTTGTGCTTTGGATCCTTGGGCAAGCTCGAGGGCACCTGCAAGGCAACGGGCCCCATTTGCCAAACAACTTGGCTACGCGGCATACCAGGCACTTGAATCTCGAGGCCGGTTCACACACTTGCAACTGCTTCTTAGGGTAGCCAACAAACACTTGGCAATAGATTCTTTCCAAAAGTCTGTCTACCTACCCTGTGCAGAGCCAAACCAGACGCTCTAATGGCGGCGCTACACAGCTTCTCCACACCAGAAAAAGCGAAAGTCTTCGAAAGCATAGCGCAGAAAAGGAAAGAAATATTAATCCTTTTACGTCACCTTCGTTTGACAAAATCGAGGGTGTTTGATTTAGCCGAGCATGATGTCTTATTACCGCCATTAGAGCGGCAATATTGGGGATTTTGGGACTGCCACAAGGCGACACTGACTTTTGAAAAGGGTCTATTCTGTATGTTTCCCATTTCTCCCCCGCATCATTCTTTCTTTCTTGGCTCGAAAAATTTTGACAATGTCTCATAGATAGCATGTGCATTTGATCTCGCAAGTATTGCAAAACTTTATAGTGAAATGCAGTTCCACGGCCACCTCGTAGATGGCGTCGGGATGCCAGTGTCCTTTATTCCTCGAAGCAGCTGAGTGTGTCGTTAACATGTTCCGCAAATAACTATTGTTTTATAGATTCGGGTACTCAATTTCACTGTGTGTGTGTAAATAACATACACAAAAAAAAAAATGTCTGTGTACATTAGACACAAACTTTCCCCTGACTGACACATGTGGATGTCAGTTGAAGCCTACTTCTTTCTTAAAAATACGCAGTAAACAGACAAATTAAGCAGGTTTGGCGGTGATCTGCTTTGTGACTGCATTGTGTCAGTAGCCCACAGATCCCGAGGACAAAATACCCCATGAGAAAATTTGTACTCGTTTCTGAGCGTGTTGCAAGCAGCAAGCTACGACGCGTAAGTAAATGACTGGTCAATCCGTGCGAGATTGGGAAGGTTACCTGAGCAAACTTTTATGCCACTAAATTGCTGCGTCTACCTAGGGAATTGCTAGGAATATTACACGTTCAGGTTCTAGACAAACGTGAATGACATATTCCTTTACTAGGTTTCCGGACATGTAGAAGAGCCCAAACGGAAGGCAGTCCTTGTGACAGGGGTAACCCGCTCCCAGACTAACAGCCAAATTCAAGTGCCTGGTAGAGAAGAGGATGCCAGCATGGATATCACTTAGAACTAACAGAAGCTTAGTTTGATCGCAGTTGGAGGCATTCGGCATTGGCCATGGATTCACAAGGTCACTGGCTCAACTTTCAACATGGCTCCTGTTCATGCCCTCAAGCATATATCCCCGACCCTCACCCAAAGGCTTCATTATGCTTTTAGGTGGGGGTCCTGTAAAAGCCAAATCGGGGCTGAAAGGGGTTAATGCCAAATATAATGATTCAAATTTAAGGTGTTAGATGGCAGAGAAATGACAAACAGGGTGAGACAAGCGTGGTCATGGCAAAGTATGGAGTGCTGATTGAGGTAACCTCACCGTCAAACTTTGGCACCATTAAATAATGAGAGATGACCCAGTAACAAAAATTTACTCGCAGCAATGGCTGCTACAAGCCATCAGCACGAGCTAGCTAGCGAGCGCAATAGTGTCATCACAGCCATAGAATGCTGCTATCTATAAAAATGGAACCCTTAGCCTCGACAACTTCATAGTAAAAAATACAACTATGTATTAAACCGATAAATGTAATGATGCCACTGTCGCTTTTCTCCCTGGCCAGAAATAATTTGGTAAGCAAGAGACGAGCAAGACTGACTCGGCAAGGACAGCAACCCTCACAGCACTAACAAGCACACGGCAATTGAGAGCATGCAGAATTAAAGGGCATACCACACCTGGAGTTGGCGGTTTCACCGGTCCCTGTTTTTGCGACTGGATCTCTTACCCGACCCCTGGCTCTCAGAGCTGTGCCGGCGCCGACGATGGCTGCGGCTACGGCTACGACTCTTCCTACGGCTCGACCGCTTCCGGCTTCTAGACCGGCTTCTGCGACGTTTCCGGCTTCCAGAGTCGCTGCTCTCGCTGCTGCTTGCGCTGCGCCGCCGATGCTTGCGGCTCTTTTCCTTTCGGTCGCGCGATCGGCTACGATGCTTGCCACGCTTCCGGCTCTCGCTGCGGCTACGACTTCGCGAGCTGCTGCTGTGCCGTTCGCGCTTCTTCGCCTTCTTGTCTCTGGAGCGGCTGCGGCTACGGCTCTTCCTCTTGGGGGACCTGCGAGACGAGCTTCGGCTCGAGCCCGACTTCCGTGTCTCGTCCTGCTTGCTTGAGCTTTTGGAGCCTTTTCTGCCAGAGCTCTTGGACTCCTGCTTTGCTGCCTCTTTGTCCCTCCGCGATGTCCTCTCCTTGCCCTCGGACTCTCTGTCCTCTGGGGTGCTGCTGCTCGCCTCTTCTAGCCTCTCTGCCGCCGCCACTTCCGCATTCTCCTCGGCCTTCCTGTCCGATTCCTCGGGGCTTGAGGCTCCAGGAGAGGAGTCGTGCTCCAAGTCGCCCGTCGAGCTCTTGTCTGCTAAAAACACAACAGGGATGGCTACTTAGCCCTGCAAGAGAAATGTGCTCGAAGGTCTTTCGACTAGAGATCAAGAGTGCAAGCAGCATAAATGTGTTGTCTTTCATGGGTTGTAAGTAAGACCTTGGCAAGATTTGACCTCCTTTCATACTACACCTCAGATTCACGATATATGTGAATCTGAGGTGTTTAGGTCAGATATATTTCCTACATCACATATATTGCCCTACATGCAGTAAACCGATCGTGGCCATATTTAATAGCAATCTATATTTATACGGATCAACAGCACGCAGCTAGGTCAACAATGTCTGAGCACAACCGACTTTGGCTCTCCCGACTCGATCGTTTGTTGCTTCTAGGTTCGGTCGAGTCAGGTTTACTCAACGAAGATTGCAGCATCACAACTGCATTCATCTACACAAGTTTGGGCCGCCTTTCTATCATCCAAATTGGACTCCGCATTATGTCAGAACACAATGTTCAGGCGAGGAGGCACACGAAAGAAAGCACGAGGCTCGAAGAAATAAAAGGTCTTCCGTCTCGACGCTTGGCGGGTTGAACCGACTTCCGGAGTACGGAACCCTTTTCTCTTTGACACTGCCTACTTCTACACGGTCTCTTCGAATACTTCAAGACTGAGTCACGCCGTTGCCAATTGATTCTCAGACTAGCGGTTGCAGCGTACACTGGCCAAACAATATCCCTCAGCAGCGTCAAAATGCGGGTTTTCGTTTCTCTCGAAGGGGGACGGATGTGCGCTTGTTCTCACCTTGTCCGGTGCTACGAGCGCCCCCGTCTTCCGTTACCTGGTCTGCCCCCCCCAGCCGCTGCTCGTGCTGCCGCTGCTCTTGCTGCCGCTGCTTCTCCCGCTCCAGCCGGTCTGCTTCGTCCAGCTCGGCCGTCATGCGGCGCTCCCACTCGAAGAAGGCCTCCCTCTTCTCCTGGATGGCCCGCTCCAGCTCCTCGTCAGAGTCCTCCTCCCCGCTGCCCTCCTCGCTGCTCGACTCGCTGTCGCTCCCGTAGCCCCTCAGCCCGCCTGTGTTCCGGCAAGGGGGGGGGGGGGGGGGGGGGGGGGGGGGGGGGGGGGGGAGAGGAACGACCGGGCACGCACCGTGCATCAGTGGGCAGCGACGATAACCTGGCCATCGCACAAATCTATAGGGTGTCCCCCCAAAAATTTACGAGGTTTTTCTCGCCTCAAAAATAAACTATGCACCGCTGAATACTCATAGTGGCTGACAAAGCCCTCAAATAATGTCCAGCACATCTCGGGGTTCTCTGCACTGCGTAGGCAAACCGCCCATAGCAGAGAGCTCAAACTTCACTAAAAAGTAGCCCTGGTACTAAAGTCAGCTTCAACCTGATATGCTACCTAGATCAAAAGTAAGATGCGATTTCTTGAAGATTATAGGTCACGGGTTATCATCTCCCATCGGTAGAGGACATAGGTCGGCTGTACGACACTGCAACTTATACAGTAAAACCTCGTTATAACAAAATGGGATATAACAAACTAATGGATATAACAAAGCAATCATAATTCCCCTTGCTTGCTAATAGGGAAGAAATGGACATTGCCTATAACAAACTAATGGTTATAACGAAATAATTATGATCGCTCCTTCAACTTTGTTATAACGAGGTTTTATTGTAGATGGCGCTAGCTGTCTAACCGATGCGAGGGCAGTTTTCACAATCTTCATGGAGAGTAACCACTGCGCAAGACTGGTGGTTAGTGCCATCTATGACCCGTGCTGCCAAGTAGCCAGCTTATGTCTGCTACCTATGGAGGATGGTGGCCTTTCATCCAGATCTTCAAAAATTGAAATCACTTTAGATTTCGTTTAAGCGAAAAGTTGGGCCGAAACTTTTGTTTCCTGCCGTCGTCATTAGGGCTGTCTCCTGTCCTGCAATGTGCCGTTCAACAGACCCCATTCAAAAGTCTGCCTTATGTTGGCAGCTGCGGAAACCCTGCACAATGGCGAACCGCAATGTTGCGGCACACTTTATGCACTTGGTTGGATAAGAAGGCAAGAGAACACCCACAGAAAAGGCGATGAGCCCAGTGACTTAGCGCTTTCGGCACTGTTTCATTGGCTCATCGGCTCCTAGCGCTGGCCACACTCTGACGTTTGCCATTTTATCGAATGATTTGCACGTTCCACAATGTCATTTGATTCGCCACTGTGCAGTGGTTCCAGCTTTCTAATAATCCACACGATTTTCAAAAGGGGTCTATAATGCCTCTTACAGAACCGGTTTGCTCATAGGTGACTATTCTCGTTATGCCCGAGTGATGGCGACTTCGGTGGAATTTTTTTTCAAACCTCTTTTCGTACCTGTGTCTTTACGACTACTAACTGCTACGAATTTTGTGTACAATGATGCAGCACTATTTGGTCACTCGGTATCATTGCATTTTCCTGCCAAACCTCCAAAAAGTAAAAACAGCTACAGCCACTGGGTCTGTTCAACTTAACAAGGGCTTTTGAACCTGTTCAAGCCAAATCTTAAGTATAGGAGTTCAAGCAGTAAAAAAGTAACGTCAGTGGCTCCACTTTTGGTGGAATAAATACACTGGTTCCTGTGAGCTTCACTAGTTCATGCAAATGTATTTCATCGTAAAAAAATCCCACAGCACCTATTGGTTGGAGCAACAAACTCTAAGAAAAGAGGTTCAAAAAAGTTTCCACTAGAGTTGCGAGTAGTACACCAAAAGTCGGCAAAACAAGGCGTCGAAAGACGTTGAAAATGAGCATTTGTGTGATGCTTTCTACAGCAAAGCAATGCAGACTTTTAACTGTGGTCAAAATAAGAAAGCAGAAGCACAACCACAGTCCTAGCTGTCGAAAAGGTATCAAGGAGCAGCACAACACCAGCCGATTAACTACGAGAAAAAGGTTTAGAACTGAAAATTCCAGAGATCAAAGTCAATGCCTTTTGTCGTAAAGTGTTAATAAATTCCTACCCTATCCCTTTAAAAATTGCACACAAGCATCAAGGTCAATGCTGCACTTGAAGAAAAACGAAGCACAAAAAAAAGGTTTATGAATGTGCAAGTTCAACTAAAGGTTCAGCTCACGAATTTGCAAATAATGCTGCAAACTATTGGTTTTGTGCTTTACTCCCCTTGCCCATTTCCAATGAGCCCACTTCCCAGCAAAAAAAAAAAAAAAAAAAAAAAAAAAAAAAAAAAGTCTCTTCCAAAAAACTGTGCACTTCCCAATTGGTAAAAAAAGGTTACTCACCGAGTCCGGTAGCAATATTTGCCAAAGCTGAGGATGATCTGAGCTGGCGGGCGGGAGCTTTTGCAGCAATACAGAAGAACCCTTTTTAGTGCACTACACAGAAAAGACATTCTAAACAAGAAAACCACGTCGCTTCGCCGTCACAAGCACGTTTCCCAGGCAGGCCGAGCAAAAGAGGCACTGCGACGAAATCATGAAAGATGCGTTGCCGTTTTTGGACACTATACTTTAGTACAGTTTATACTTGGCATCAACTTCTTCGTGGTTTGTTGTCAAGACTACCTTAGAATCCAGAGGGCTGCAGCCCCACACTGCTGCGCAAGCGTGTGGCTTTGTCTTGCGTCTTATTCACGTCTGTTCACGCAAGTGGCTTTGACATTGCCGTGGAACCCGCGCTAGTCTTGACAACGTAGTATAAAGATGTTGATGCTGAGTATAGAGTAAACAAATACTAGTTCTTGGCTTCTTGGCCTTTGTCCCTCTTACTCGAAACTAAAATCCCCTGGATTTTCATTAGGTTTCTATTAAATTAGTGGCAATGTTCGCCAGCAAAGGGTAGCCGATAGCTAGCTGGTTCGCTAGAGTATATACATGAATTACAGAAAAGCTGCAATTATAACATGACATACAGTAATACAGTTGCTGAAATGTACCGACTGATTTGTTTCTTGTCATCATCAGCATCAATAAAGAGTCAGAGCGAATGTGTCTTAAACAAATTATTCAAAAGGCTAAAATTTTCTCGCGACAATGGCCTGGACGCAATTTCACGGGCAGCACTTCGTGTACAATCGAACCTCGAAAAGAAAAAAAAATCCAATTCCGTGTAAAGATTTGCGCTTTATTGCATCGCCAGGAAATTCCATGGGAGCAAACAACGAGGGAAACGGGGACAACGCAGAGTACACAGTGTTCAGGGACGAGGCCGCATTGACACATTCCCAAAAGGCTACCTTTCTGGATGGCTTTCTGGAGCACTTCTTTGGCCAGGGAAAGCACTTCCTCATTCGTCACTTCCAGCAGCAGCTCAGTCAGCATTCTTCGCACCTTGAGCATCTGCGAAAGAAAGCAAAAAAAAAAACAAAAAAACAATATTATTCTTTTTAAATGCAAATGATTTTCTTGTTTTAGGCAAAATAAGGGTAAAGATATCATTACACTATCTCTCTCTTTTTCTGATTGCAAAGAGATACTCCCTTCTCCCCCCTCCTTTTTCAGTTTCTAAAATAGGAAAGCAGCTTCTCAACAAGCACATGTCAGATGCTGACCAAACCTAATACACCGCAGCAATAAAGAACTGCAATATTTTTTGCAAAGTAAGGCTACTAATAAAATATGGACAAAGCAGACAACATTGCCGACTCCCGCTGACTTCGCCATAAGACCAAGTTTGACTGCGTTACGGGACTACTCAACATGGGCTTTCAAACTATTCCCTGGCACATAGTTGCTCCCTGCACCACCCCCCCCAAGGTGATCCTCTAGCTTCCAACTTACCTCGCATGCCCCTAGTGAAGAGTTTTCCCAGTTTGAGCAAAATTTAAAAGTAGCCTGAGCCACGCATCAATCACCATGTCTTTGAGTCGAACTCTTCCACCCCTCTCCTCAGTGGTGCATAACATCGGTAGCAAAGTGTGGAAGCTCCTAAATTGCTTTGCCGCAAGACCGTACTCGGCTCTCAGTCGTAGTTAGCCGAGGGTGTCCCTCGATTCAAAGCATCTGAGAAAGGCTGCAATCTATACTTCATCTCGGCTTACGACGGGCCACAGCCAGACCTAAGGGCCGCCGGGTCCAATCGCGAGCCAGTTATAAACTACACGGTACAGTGCTCCCACATGCTTTCTAACTTGCTCGCAATTGGACCCCGTTAGTTACAGTTTTAGCCGTGGTACGTCGTAGGCCGAGACGAAGTGCAGCGTCTTTCCGAGCGGTCCGAGAACGTCCGAAGCAAGAACCGCGAAGAGAGGGAAGAGCTTTTGGTCACCAGTTCCTGCTGGCGCTCCTCAGCGGTGCGGAAGCGGAACTCCTCGGTGCGAGGCTCGAGCGGCTCCTCGTCGGGCGAAGCGTCCCGAGCCGTCTGCAGGCCGTTGCGCTTCGGGGAAGGGCGCCGGCCGCGCTGGCCGTCGCTGAACATGTCCACGCCCTCCCCCTTCTCGTCCTCGGAGTCCGAATCCTGTGACAGAAGGAGGTGCCGGGAGAGGCGAAGGATGAGCACGGAAACCCAGTGGCACGGGAGATCTAGTCAGATATCTTATATATATATATATATATATATATATATATATATACATGTCTTATATCAGCAAACACAAAAGAAACACCATGCTAAGGTGCAAAGTTTTTTTGCACATAACCAAAAATAAAGCTTTATTGCTTAGGCAAGTGAGGGCTTACGAAACCCTAAGAGCGCCTTTGCAGACTTTCGTTTGAGGTCCATCGCTATAGGACATCGCTCGTCCGATGTTCCGTGAAAAGTGCTTTGAGGCACCGGAGAGGAACCTTGAGGAGACTCACGAATTTGGACTTGAGGGGGTCGCTGTCTTGCTGGGCCTTCTTGTTCAGTCTCTCCCTGTGCTCCGCCTCTGCCCTCTCCCTTTCCAGCCTGCGCAGCTTCTCCCTCTCCATCTTCTCCAGACCCTCCCGGATCCAGGCCGGCAGGCTCTTGCGCTTGGCCGCGTCTGCGAAGGAGACACACCAACGTCGATTTCCCGAGGCACACCTCGTTAAAAAAAAAAAGGCAAGGTTTATGGCATCCGCTAGACCTCATTTAAAGGAATTTTTAACGCAGAATGCGTTTGAGCCCTCGGACACCCGAGGAAAGTGCGACAGGGCGCCAAGAAAAACCAACACCCGCCCGCCAAATTAAGAACCTTTGTCTCACTAAATTTAACGGACTCGTGTCTTTTTAAATTTAGTGGACGGCATTCACACGAAATCTTTGGCGTGACAGTGAACGACCGACCTGACATTGTGCAACGCTGGCACCACCATGCGATCGCATCGTGTGATGTCAGGTCACATGATGTCGCACGTTGTTACCTTGTACGACACCACTAAATTTGTCACACTTATTTCTGTCTGCGTCACACTAAATTTAGCACAGCTTCTAAGCTCACAAAAGCTCATAAACAAACTTCTGGCGCAGCTCAAAACACGCCAGACATTCTGTGTCTCTCGACTCGATCTGCAGAATTGAGACAAATTAATTTATATTTTCTGAGTTGGCCAAATTTTACACGAATACACTCTTTCACGTTTTGTAAAGCCCAAACTGGGCATCGGGCGTCTTTTGAGGCTCATAAATGTAGCATTGCGGACAATACGGGCTGAAGCGGTCCTTTGTGCTTCTCTGGCGTACCTGCCAGTTTTTGAGAGAGCCGTGGTTCAAATTAGGATTGGAATGCGAAGTTGAGGTCCCATGCTTGGGACTATTTGACAAATTGAAAGACATCAGAGCTTGCGGGTTCCGCAGATGCATAAAAAGGCGGGATCAGGCGCTTCGGCTCGTGTTGTCTGCGTAGGTACTTCTATTAGCCTTACAAGACATGCGGAAGGGGCATAACTCGCTTAGGAAGATAGGCGTACGGCTCCCCGTAAAACGGTCGTTCTGGATTCGGACAAATACGGGAAGCAGGCTAGAGCGAGATCTGCATGATGGAATGGTCACTGACCCAGCTGGGGCGTCTCCTCCTCGAGGAAGGGCAGCTGGACGTCCTCCCTCAACTCCCGCCTATCCTTCCTCAGGAAGGGTGGAGGGCAGGGGTTGGACCCCATGCCCCAGTACTGGCCATAGGAGCCCTGGCCAGGACCGCCGTAACTCGGTGGAGGCAGCTGAAAGCAACAAGAGCATTTTCGACAGGGAACAACCTTGGCGTGGCAGCCCAAGTTTCGCTCAGAAACTCGGTCCCGGAAAGGACGAGTATCGTTGAGCAATTTCGGCTTTCGCTTCCAATATTTCTAAAAGTTTCTTTTTCTTACAGTCACAACAGTATCAGAATGTTGGGGCGTCTCTTTCGAACGCTCGTTGCCCTCCGTCGTGTTTTGACTGTGCGTGCATGCTCAAGGTCCACGAGATGACCCAGCAAAGTAAGGGAGAGTGTGCCGTAGACAAGTGAAAAACCTCGCTGCCATTCTCATCTTGACTACACCAGGTGTGAGTGCCTTTATGTTTTGTTTGTACATTATGTACACAATAACAGACAATACCCAACAAAAACAAAGAGCTGCTACCCCAATCGCCATGTTTTGTTTGCCATCTGTTTTATATCTGCAAGCGGGAATGGTAAAAAAAAAAATTAACTTTCATTTAACGTAGAAAAAGAAAAACATTCCAACGTTCAGTGAAAACCTTCCTTTTTGTTTGCATGTTCTTATGTTCTTCCATAAGAGTATTTGGCACTTTCTTTGCCCCATTCATTCTCCTGTGTTTGTCCTCGTGCAACCAGTCCTTCGACGATTCTGAACAACCGGCAATACAAATAAAAAAACATAAAATAAAGGATGTTCTGTTTCAGCATATCGCAGCAACAAATGGCTAAAGGTATGGTCCCACTAAACCACTGAGAGCACCAGAGCGAGGCAGGTCATCTCGCTCCTTGCGAGAACACCCCCTTAATGTGTCGTGTGCCTTGCATCGACACTCCTATTGGCTCACAAGGCCCCTAGCTTTGACCGCATTTAGAGTTATGGTACAATTAAGTGTAGTTCTCGCGAGTGCTCAATAAAGCCACACATATGCGGTTTCACAATTTTCAAGATGTACAAATGGGGCCACTGCCTAGAGAAGAGACCAGACCTTGCACACCAACAGCAGCCCAAAGAGAGCTCTCTCCCACAACCCTGCAAAACACTGGCAAGACAAAAAAAAAAAAATTACTGCAGAAACTATTTTTGTTGCTTGTCATGAATTGCGATAGCATTCGTCTAGGACGACCTCAAGAACGACGTCTAGAACGGCCTCTAGGCCGATCTTAGGGACGCCCTCAAGGACGACCTCTAGGTCAACCTCGAAGGCGACGTCGATTATGACGTCAAGGTCATGAGTTTGAAGAGGGTGCAAATCTGAAGGAGTGCGAGAATGTGAGCTCAAATGGTCTACTGCGCATACCTACTGTGCATTAGGAGGCTAGAAAGTACAAAAAATCCAGTGGGGGGGGGGGGGGGTATCGCATTAAAATATCCACAGTCATAGAGGTTTTTCAAGGTCTAGTCACGGCCCACTCACGTCCAAGTGTCCGTAGGGGCCATACTGGTCGGCCGCCCCACCGCCGTGATTGTAGTCGTAGCTCTGAGACGCCAGCGGCTGGCTCGACGATACGTGCCCGTAGTCAAAGGTCTCCTTCTCAGACACCCCCAGGAGCGGTGGCTGGGGCACCACCACCGCAGGTGGCGGGGGCGGCGGGGGAGGGTGGGCCACGGGGGCCACCGCCGGCACCACGCTGCCCGCGGTCGCCCAGGGCTTGCCGTCTCCCACCACCCAGGTCGAGGCAGAGGAGTTGCCCCAGTAGCCCGCCGGTGCTGCACCGCCCCCGGAGGCCACGCCACCTTCAAAGAGGAGAACGACGTCTGCCGTGAAATTCCGAACGAATGCCCACGTTCGAGAGATTGTTTGTCCCGCCTTTCTCGCTGAAAAGTCTATAGACCAACACGCGGCCCTGACGTCACGCAGCTGCGGTGGCGCTGTCGACGGCACTGCACATGCGCAGACGCTTCACTTCACGTGAATTAGGTTTCTGCGCATGCGCAGTGCCCACACCTGCTGTGGGCAAATGCTGGCTTGTTTGTAAACAGCGTGTCGGTCTATAGGGTAAAAAGTGTCCAAATACAGTTAAGGCTGGTTCACTCATTTGAGACCGCTTATGACCGAGTGCCTTAGAGCCTCTCGGGATCTGCTATGGCGAGAAAATGCAATGGCGCCATCTATAGGCTAGCCGTGGAAAACTTGGCATTTCCGAATATTTCTCCTCTTTTTTGCACATCATTCCTTCATTATTGGCTCGAAAAGCTTTTGACAGTGTTATAATAAACTACAGTTTCTCCTAGATAGTATGTATGTTTGATCTAGAAAATACTGCAAAACCTTTGCTCTAGTGAAATGCAGCTCCAGAGTCGCCTTATAAATGGGGACAGCGTGATTTCTCGTCTTAAGAAATTTTAGGAGCCCGGTCTTCAGCAAAAGCAGGTGTACAAACGGCTCTTCGGAAAGGTTGAGACACCAACTCCTAAATTATTTAAGCAAAGCACTGAAACTGTTGCACAGCTCCTTTAAGAACCCAGCAGATGTTCCACCTCAAGCGTGAGCTTTCTGCCTTTGATAGGACTCAGTCGTACAGGCAGCCAGAGCCCAGTGGGGTGTTGGAGGCAGACCACCTGCTGGATTCTTAACCTGTCACCGACTACAGGTGGACTCCACTGCGTTGCAACCTCGAGAGGACGAGGAAGCCCGCGGCGTGCACGCACCTATCGGTGCCGGAGGTGGGGGTGGGGGCGGGGGCTTGTGGGGTGGCAGGGCAGGCACCACGGAGACCTGCTGCGGCTGCACGGGAGGCGGCACGGACATCCTCGGAGGCATGGACGCCATGAGATGCTGGGCCTGGGGCGGTAGTTCGACGCCGGGGTGCGTCTGCTGCATCTGGATCCATTGCTTGGCCAGCTGAGCCCAGTCCACTGAAAGGCCAAGTGCCAGACATCCATGTGAACCGGGACCAAGGAAGACGCCGGTCGCGCCAAAAGCGTGGCAACACGAGGGGCCCGACTCCCGTGGGCGTTATGGAAGCCAGACTGTATTCATCCTTTTTTCTAAGAGAAAAGGCTAAGAGCACAGGCTCAAAACAGCCCCGCTGCACGAGTCCATGTGCACTGGGCCCACCTATAAGCTATAAGCACTGGGGACACCATAAGCTTCTGCACGGAGCAGTCCCTCTAGCTGCAAAGAACAGTGAATGGAACGCGCGGTACTGAATGCTAGGAGTTTTGCAATGACAATGATGGTCAAACGTCAGAAGGAGCAGCTCTTACAATTTTAGTCTATTCTTCTCTCTTACAACAGGTGGGCATAATGGTCAGAAACAGCAATAAACATCAAAAAAGAAATGTTAAATTTCTGAGATCCCGTGGTTTGTACAACTCGCCTATAATTTTAAAACACGCAACATCAACTGACAAAGATGAGTTTTCATATCATCATCTTTTTCCCAAGGGAAATTGTTTCACTCCAATGGTTCTCAAAAATAAATTTTCCGGCAATTTAGAATGAAAGAAACCTCTGCCTGGCTTGCAGTTACAAGAATGATTGCGTAATAATTCTTTTGCAAAGCACCAACGCTGTAGCTTTTTTGGATTTTAGTTGTCCAACATATCTAAATGACTTAATTTCGTGAGGACCTAATTTTTGCGAATTAGAAAATGTTGCAAAAAATAGATTATGCAAATACACCGCCCCACAGTAACTAATACATAAGATACCACTCCCAATCACGAAATATTCCCAAATTCCATACTTTGCGAAATTTGTTAAATATTGAGTGTACGGAAATAGTTGTTTATAGTACCATGTCCAAGCTGTCTAACATTCATAACTTAAATTGGATTAAGGTTAAGCAAGAAATATGAGTCATTATATCTGGAACTCTTCACACATCCTGGAGTAAGCAAGAAATGCCGATACCTCCAGCTGGCAAGCTGAAATTTTCCTTAAAAGTGTTTATGTTCCGTTATAACAACTTTATGTGTCAAAAAAAGAAAAAGGCAAGCACGATTATTTTTTGTTCTTAAATGGCCAACCATCATTTACTAACACATGAAGTTTATTCGAGGAAGTTAGTTTCGAAAATTTTACCAGGTGAAAGTGAAAATTGCAGCTTGCAAGTTCGAGACACAGGTTTTTCTGACATCTTTATGCTACGCATATATGAATGCTTTGGGACGCAATATACTTGTAAAGCAGTATTAAATTCTGGGTTCAAGTAAGCAAACAAATAGACCGCATAGAACACACACACATGCACAAAAACAGACACGGAAAGCAGACACACAATGTGTTTTGCATCAAAAATGCCATTGCTAGGTACATTCTTTCGGTTGCATTCCCAATTTTCTTGTTTTTCTTTAATGGCTCTTTGTGTCTCTGCTTGAGCAGGGCTATACAGCAAACCTTAACGAAAAAAGAGCCAGAACTCTCTATATAAAAAAGTGGTGATGCAACATAAAATCCCTGTCACAACTGATAAGGGATATCCAGCCTTTATTGGAAGTAGCATTTCTACTGCAACAAGCCTTTCCTTTCAGATTGACGGTGTTACAAAGGTCACAATGTTCGACATGAGAGCAAGGTTACTGCGGAGATCTGATGCTACGTGTTCTACGGAAAGTTAAGAAAATTTGTTTGAGCGTGATTCTTACCTTGTTCGTGGGGAACATTTTGATACATGGAGGCATGAATCGGCCATTGATTCCACGGCCCAGATGGTCCAGACCACATGATTTCTATTTACTGCAGTTTTAATACTGAAGGGCAAAAAGTCAATGCACAGTCTCTCAAAAAGCTGAGGAGAAAGCAACGTTAGAGAAAACAAATGCATCGCACAAAGAAAAATTGTTGCCTGCAGAGACAACAAAATGCAAGTTTCAGTAAACATGACACTGCTAAACCGAATTTAGCGCTACAGTTTGTTTCACCACGGTGAATGCCAGGCTAGTAACCCAAATAATAAAATAAAACAATTTTTTGTTTTTCTGCAAAGTTGTTAAATTTACAACTGTGGGCGTCGCCATTTTTTAAATTTTTTCGAACTGAAAGTTTTTACTGATAACAATGAAAAAGTGATGCTAGCGGCAGGAAGGGGATTTTTCGCCGACTGATTATAGGCAGTTTTATGGCGTCAAGTGAATGCTTTTGGAAGCTGGTTCCAGCCCCCGTGCAGCAGCACGAAACAAATGTTCGGCACACTATGTTTTTAAGACTGCCTGCTCAAACCACAGGCCTGCCGCCAGCGAAGTCACGGCACTGAAAATGTTTGTTCTGGCATCACCTTCACTTGGCAATTTCATGAGAACTATAATTGTGAATTTCACAATACTAAATAAATCGCTGGAAGGGGTAAAGGCCGGGGATTCACATATTATAGCTGGGGTAGCTAAAAAAAATTTGCCAAAGTACCCCTTTAGAGGCAGCATGATTATGCCACAATCTTCAGTTTCAATCACACTTATGGTGAAATCAAGTATAGGTGCAATGGTGCAACCCACAGTGGCAACTTCTTGAGCAGTTATGCAATGGTGGAAGCTTGGCGACAAGAGGAACAGCACTACCTATACACCAACTCATGTTTACAAACAAACCGGAGCGCCCCTAGCGGACGCCATGGGCGCCGCGCATGCGCGGTGGGGGTGTGGGCAAGAAGCTCGCCGTCGCCCATAAACAAACCATTGAAATGCGATGTTGTCGGCGTCTGTGTGAGTCCCCCTGCTCTTTTTCGCATTCGAATTGTTGATGCTACGCCTTCCTCGCGATGCCCGACTACTTGAGCGGTGTCAGCGAAATTACCGAGGCTCGTTACACCGCGAAATTTCGCGTGGATAATGCGACATGTCGCGATTCATTCCGCGTGGACGCCGCAGTATGTACGCTAATACCTGATTCGCATGATGAAATTTCGCTCGCAATTTTCAGTCGCGACGCCGCTCGGGTTGCAAAAGTGTGAACTGTAGCTGAGATGGTCGACGTTGATACTGAAAATCGCAAGCAGAATCGGACCAAGTCAATTAGGCGTAGCAAGTCAGTGATGGTCACTGGTAACAATGATCAACATCTCCTTGTATCCACTGTTTACATCGAGCCTGCTTACCAACCTTCAAGCTTAAGTCTTTTGAGGCCTGCACTTACTTCTTATCGTAAGTACCGGGCCCACATTTGGTCTACGGGCCAGCGTCGCCTAAGAGAGCAGACGACAAGCAGAAACGTTTGAAAGAGCAGACGACAGTTCGAACGATCAGGCGGCCGTTTGAACTTGAAGACGCACTAAACGTAGTCCGCAGGTGGTCTGCACAACTTGACGGTTTTCTGGCGTTCATGTTGGAACAAAACAAATAAATCTGATGACCACAAGTGTCCGTGAATTCAACCCAGAGTGCTTCCCGCCCAAGCAATCGTTGTCCGACGGCGTCTGCTTTTCCCTTTTCACGGCACGGCAACCGAGCACGTGAAAACTGACCTTCAAGCCTTACTCGACACTTTTGGTACGGCCCCAGTCGCGATGTTCTGACGAGAAGGCAGGTTTTTGTCTGGTTCCTTTCAAAACAACGCAGGAATACACGTCTGGCATGGGGACTTCTGCCCACAGCCCTAGACCGTAAGTGCAACCGAAGTGCGACCGAAGCGCCACTACCGCGCCGTGACGTCACAGAGTTGAGTTGGTGTATAACGGCGCTGTGTGCCAGATTCAATGCTATTCACAGGGACAACGCTCCCAGGAAACAGGAACAGCTGCACACGCACATTTGTTTCCTTTCTTTGAACTGTCACCGAACGGTGTCGCTACACCACCGCATAGAAAACATTCTCCTCTAAAGCGAATTGGCCATCAATAACGAAAAAGTAGCGGCTCTCCCGTCGGTCGCTACGGTTAGTTATTCCGTGATTTTGCAGTACTCAGGCGAAATCCCGATTTGCAGCACTGATCGGGTAGGTGCACAATCAGTGCTGCACGATGTGCAAAAACTGGGCTTAGATGTAAATAGGCTGGAATCTATATTTTCTCAAGGATGAAAATGGCATGCTCTGATCTGGCGATTTCAAACCCTGATTAACCTCTGGCGACTATTAATTGCATTGCTACATCACGCAGCTAAGCATTTCGTTGTGGGTTAATTACACTTGAGTCAGTGACACACACTTACAAAAATCAAACAACTGTTTATACATTCCCTTATTTCCATTAATCACTTTTCAGAAAATACAGTTCTGGGTTCCGGACAACTAACTGCGTTCATCTATGAGAAGAATACAATATTACTGCCGTCGTTTACGTGTTCCCACAGGTGCTTTGGCGGCCAAAGAAAGGTTTTTTTATTAGTGATCGCGCTTCATAATACAATAGACACACCATCCAGAGCATTCTAGGAACAATTACAGGTTACCTTCTAAAAATATACATAAGATATATAATTACGCCCTGTAGTAAGCTCGTACAGGTAGAGACGTTCGACATTCCACATTTCGCAATCGCATCGCTTTCAAAGAGGCCGACTTTCGAGTAAATTTCGCGCGAAACGCTTTGCGTTTTACCCAAAGAAATTTAATCGTTAATCATGCACGAATATCTGTAACGGTTGCATCTTTATAAACATTGCAAGCTTGAAAGCATTTGATCACACGCGGCATGCACCTATGGTTTCTCTGCTACCCGATCGGATCGCGCACAAACACTGAGAGCTAGAGACACAGCGAAAGATTGTTTAAGAATGCATTTTCGGTGCCATTCAACAATGTACTAATTCTCTATAAACGTAATTTTGCTGGGTGTAAAAAAGGAATGGATGCTTTGTTTCTCCCACCATTTCCTCGCTACAAAATATACGACGTGCCATCCACCGGGTAAGGGGGTTTCTGAAATTTGATTGTTTTTTGTTTATAAACTGAGTATGCCTGAACACGAAACAGGCGCACACGATTATCAATCAAATGTCAATCGAGAAAGCGACAGAGTTTCGGAGGGGAGAAAAACAAAAAGAAGCCACAACTTACCTCGAGAGTAGAGGGCGAGCGAGCGTCGACAGAATGAAGCTCGCGAAACTCCGCCGAAAATGCGGGAGGCAATCCTAACGATCTATTAGATCTACATTTATTATTTACATCGCTAAATTAACGAGGATCGTTCAAACGGCAATACACAGCGCTCAAACACAGCCAACATCACACGCCGAAGAGCACCCGTTCTTCCAGCACATTTCCAAAATCCAAAATGGCGGATCTCATAAGTGACGAATGGCAATGAGGGTAATCAACGCGAAAATAATGTTCTCATGTGCTGTACAGGATGTTAGCTAACGCCATCTATCCATATATGTTTGCGTTTTAGTTTTTATTTTTCTTTATTCACGTCATATTTTTTTATTTTTTTTTACGCGCCTGCGACGTTTTTTTTTTGTTTTTTTTTTTTTGGGAGCGACCGCCCTGATGCAAAAGGATTTTTGTGCAACTGAATACTGAATACGTTGTACGTTTTTGTTTGCTAAAATACAATGCTCCATATTCAGATAATTTAGAAGAATAAACCATAGTAATCCTATGAAATCAGAAACCACCAAAAATTTCAATTTCAACCCGGAATATTTGTTTCTTGGCGCCTCAAAAATACGATGAAACTGCCCATGCAGCCTAAATTTGTAATCGTTACAGAAGAGTACGAGCACAAGTACAATGACAAGGATTTTCTGAATTGCCTTTTAACCCCACAAAAAAATATACGCTCAGAGAACAATTGTGTTAAAATATAACCACAATTCACAGCATTAACTTCATTCTAGAACTTTATTAGTCAAATCAACAAAACAAGAAACTCTGGCGGAAGTCAATAAACAAGCGAAACAAATAAAACTCTATACTAAATAACTTAAGCCGTCATCAGAAGAAAAAATCGCTCGTTTATGAAGCTCGCATTTCTCCCTTGACACACACCTTGAATGCTTCCCAGCCTTCAGTCGAGATCAGGTGGGACTGAAATAAACGAGAAGAAAATTGGACGACAATACACAACACACACACCTCTACCTTATTTATTTGTAATGCCTACTAAACTTGAGGCTTGGGCGAGTTGGTACATACTTCGGAATTAAAAACAGTGCGGAAAGACGAAGACCAGAAAAAAAGTGACACGGACGTAGCGCTACATCCGTGTCACTTCTTTGTATGGTCTTCGTCTTTCCGCGCTGTTTTTAATTCCGATGTAATGCCTAGTTTGGGCAGAAATTACTAGGTGTTATAAGAACGTGTAACAATCTTTCAACTTCCAAAAAAACTGCCAAAAACTGCACAGAAATTTTACACTCTCTACAACAAGTCTTACAAAAATTGTATATATCCCATATCAAAAGAAGGAGCATAAAAAAAAAAAAAAAAAAAACCTGCCCTTTCTGTAAAAAGTGGATAATAAAAGTAAGACAACATATGAGAAAAGCCTTATAACATCACTATGATAGGCATGAAAAATGGTTGAATGAAGAATGATCACAATGAACGACCAACAAGTACACTGGGAAAAAGCGTCCTGTGAAATACATGCCTACCCTGAGTCCCCGATGGAGTCTGTCTCTCATGATGGCGATGAACTCTTTGTAAGACAAAAAGCCGTCTCCATCTGCATCAAAGATCTGAAACACTGTGTCCACGAGGTAGGGATCCAAGCTATGGCCGGTACAGATTTTCACAGCCCTATGGAATTCCTCTGCAAATCAAAGAGAGGGAGAGAACATCAGATATTTCTGACAATTCAGTTCATGCTTTTTTTTTTTGTTGCACTACAGACAGAGGTACTTAAAGAATGCCGCTGTAAAGACAACATGGGAGCTGAGAGCATGGAGGCCTAAAGACTTTGCCCAGGAAATGCTACCTTGGGAGATGGGCTTGTTGGCATAGGTGAACATCCTCATGGCAATGGAGAAGTCATCCAGATTGTTCAAAAACTGGCAGAAGGCCTTGAACTGGTCGAATGTAATTCCCTGAAAAGAAGAAAGAGGGTACACAAAATGTGAAATAAAAAGAATCTATAAATCAAGCTAGACCAGATACTCGAGAGCTTACACCATACAGTGATACTTAAGCATCATTCATATTTGACAAAATACAAACGATGCTAGATAAGCCAGGATGTCACGGTTAAAAAATAACACTATGGTAAGTACCTTTTACCTAGACAATGAAGACGGTTACCAAGCCTCGGGATCGATCTATACCTGCAGGATTCTGCTTCTTTTTGTCAAATATAAATTCTGTCACGTCAAATAACAGTTATTCAAACAGAAATGTGACTTTCTACCTCGCACACAAAGAAACAAATGTTTGGCTTCAGTGCGCGGTGCGTAGTGACTTTGCATTTCTAGAGTCACAGCCGATTGCATCCAGTTCTCTTCGTCGATGCCACAGCGCCACTCGGCAGAACCATCTGGCCACAACTAGGGACCTAGCCGGAACGGTGCGAGAACGACCAGACTTTGATCTTCAGAATTAGTCAAAGACTGTCATGCCTAAGAATGGTCGTTCCACGCAAGACGCACAAACAACTGCACACATTCCCTCCGTCTACTACCGACCCTCGCACATACCTTTTCTTCGGGAATTCTGTCCTTAACTCTCTCCACGTAGGCCTCATAATTTGCGCTGTGGATGTAGGTGTAGCGGAGCAGGATCCGAGCAAAGTCCACCTCCGAAATGGTGGGCATGCCCCGGGAGAACTCCGTAAACTCCAGCTCGAGGACCTCAGTCTGGAGGTTGTCCATGAATCTGCAAGTGGAAGCCTCGGCCAAATGACAAAACACAGAAGGGGAGACTATGAACACTTGCGGCACAGGAAGCTCCAAAACACACTCCAAACACAAAATCGTAAGCTCGACCGAAATAGACTACTAAGTTCAGCAGAACGGCAGCACTACCATGGTGCCTGAACACGTCTCTGACTGGTGTGTTTGGCGTCCTATTCCACCCATGCATCAAAAGTGGCCCTGCCAGCCTGCCTGCAGCAGCCAGGAGTGGTCCCCACTCCTGGTTGTCGAAGCTTCCGTGGACCGTCACGCCGGATGGCGACCCGCAGCAGAACAGGCATCTGTCACAGCCACCACTGCTGCTGCGACACCGCCAGGGTCACGGCCGGCGACACCGTGACACTTGTGTGACGTCATAAGGCAGAAATCGAGAAACCACGTTTTAGGACGCGGTAAACACACCGGTCAGAGATGCGTTGCAGGCACAATAGCACTAAACTCTGCCGAGATTAAATGAGCAAGACAGTGTGCAGGTGAATATGGGATGATCTACCTAGGTTGATAAAGCAAGCTTTCGCGAGTGGTAGAATCAAAACAATACTGCTTTTAGGTCTTGAAGAAACAAAGGCGGTGACGAATGAAGCTCGGCGAAACGTCGCCGAGCTTTAATCATGTTAGGTGTAAACTGTTGGATAATTGAAACAGCTTTCTTGATCCCTCGCAGTAAAACGGTCCAATAAAAAAAAAAGTAGTCACATCTCTTTTTTCTTTTTTTCCATGCATTTTTCTTTGCGGCGAATAGCCTCTGGCAGTACAATTGTGTATGAAAAGCGTTGGTACCTGAAGAAGTCGTCGTACTTGAGTGTGTCGGTTCCCTTCTTTCCAAAGAGGTGCATGAGAAGCGTGGTGTTGACTGCGCTGGAGAAGTCGGCCCTCTCAGTTTCCTCCTAGACAAAGCACACATTTCCCAGGTGAATGGAAATGAAAAACGAAGAGAGTGAAAGGAACCCCTAGACATGCAGAGCCTTTAGAGCCTTTCTATCTTCAAGCATACTATAGTGACAATGACAGTAAAAATACAGGCCCTTACCAGCCTACCCGCAATATTATATTTCTTTTATGTGGATCAAATCTGTAACAGCTGACATTTGACGACTGTCAATAGGGCAAGTTGAATAAGGAAAAGAGATGGTTTGTGTAGAAATGTTGTTTTGCTAAATTTATATCCGTCCTCACTTATAATCTTTTTTAATTACCTACATGGGCGATGTTAAATATTGTTAAATGCGCAAGCTTTTTCATAAAAAAAAAACCCCTCCCTAAATAAAAAAAAGGATAAAGTGAATGAAAGTACTTGTCAAGTCCTCAAATGAAAGCTCAAAGTGATGAATGCATGATTCATAAGCAAGCCTAGGGTTTATCACTGGGTTGATATTGCAACTTGTCATAAGAATTGCTTGGTGTCTACTTACCTATCACTCTCAAGGTTGAATGACAATAATATACTAATAGTTTTGTACATGGTAATCTTTGGTGGCAGTTGAGGAACATTCTTGTTTAGTCTTGTAAAAGCACATCATAACAATGTTTACATTCTCACTCAGTCTTCTGTAAGGAGACTTTCCTTAGTGTATTACAATTTACAGACCATTACAGACCTCCTCGAAATCTCTTTATTTTTGCTTCTGTAGCCTAGCCTCCTAATCAAGTCCTACCTAGTCCTCTTGTTTCATAGCATTCCTGCGCCCCAAGAAATAAAAGGCAGTTTCCTAAAATAATTCTCTCAGATTATTTATTTTAAGCAGTAGATAATTTAAAATATGGTCAATTATGTGTGATCAGGCCAAAGTAGCCTAAACCAATACTTTGGTTCTAGAAATAGAAAAAATGCATTGCCAAGAGAAGGAAAGAGCGTGCAGTTTGACCAAAGCAAGTCATGTTCCACATGCAACACGCAAGCTTCAGCAAAATTCTCTATTTTCCGATACTCCAACCAACCAGCAACAGCAAGAAGCAATATCAAGCTAAAGCAAGGAAATCAGCAAAGAACTTCAGCTTTTTTTTTTTCTGCAGAAGGTTTGAGCACGAAGGGAATTAAAAAAGGTGGAAGCATGGAAAGTTTCAAAGAGAAAGGGGCTTTTCGGAAAGTTCCGAAGTATCATGCAGCGCTGAAGAAAGCCTTACTGAAACTGCGGACGGACGTGAATACAGTCTCTGAAGATCAAAGACAGGCATTACACGCAGGTTAACACAGTTACACAACTCAAGAAGCACGATTAGGGATGCACAACCAAGAGCACAGTATCTGGCCACACTGCTTAGTTGGGCGGTTGCATATTTGCACTTTCCAGTGATCATGGGAGGGGTCGCTGTTTAATCAAAGCGCCCCTTTCGTTAGAGGAAAAACAGGCAATAAATTCCAGATTGCAGGTGTTCTGATCAATCCTGCATTTCCAACAAATTCAGGTCACAATACTGGTTATAAAAGAATCACATGTAAAGAAAAAAAAAAAAAGTATGTTTTCTGGCAGGCTGAACGGTTTGCTACAAAGGAATCCGGCGTCACTCAGATACGGATTCCCAATGTCTCTTCCTTGCCTTGCCTAACTCTTTTTTTCTTTGGGACATCCATGAGGTGACAACTACTATGTCGCTGTAAAGTGCATATAGCAATGCTAGTACCAGCTGTAAGTGAATTACACACTCGTTTAACATCAATGTGTCTGCCCTGGCTCTTCCACAAGGCAGTGTGAAAGAGTTTTTTAATAGAAGCAGCATTTGGTTGCTACTGACAACGGCGTACTGACCAGCCTGACATGAGATGACACAACTCTCTCAATAATTCTGCGTTGCTTTAATTTAACAATACGCCGATTCCCGTGTCAAACTTTAAAAATGGCATACTAGGGCAAGATGGCTGGTTTATGACTGCGAATTGCTGAATAACATTTAAATATTGAGAAAAGAAATTTCAGTGGCGACCATTAATGCAGAAGACTGGTTAACCAACCATCATATAAATGTGGCGCGACTGTACAAATACAGAAAGTTGTTAAAAGCAAGTTAGAACACTCATTTAAAAAGGTGGGTTTGTCTGACTAAACTACATGACCTAAAATATCAATGGTTATAGCGGGCAATACTAGCTTCCTATCCCTCCATAACAAAAGAAAACATGCCAGGTATAAGGAAAATATATATTTTTTTGATTGTCAAAAATGTTTTACAGATTACATGTATCAAAGTTCAAAGGCATAATAGCAACCATTTTCATACGGCCAATAGCTTCATAATTGTATTTTAATATCAACATGTTTATGGCTGTAGCTGCACTGCAGGTGCATCATATGCATGCACCTATGTAAAATGTGGTTTTATCGGTTCGCTTTTTTTTTTTTTTTTTTTATAAATCATAAGAGTTAATGATGTGGCAAGGGTGGCTTGAAGAGAACAAACACTAAGAAGCTTATTATGAACACTGCACTTTTCTTCAGCTTCCCTGGACCACCAGCCTTCTATTTTTGCCTGCCAATGAGTTAGCAATTGTAAATTTATAAGTACAAACTTCTGCTGTCTAGGTCTGGGTCTTAGCAAAGCAGAGACTACTTCACCCGAGAATGGCATCAAACACAAACATGCTTACCAGTTCGGGCAGCTCCTTATTTGTTTTAAGCTTACCACGTCGTGCAACAGTGCTAAATATTTTCTCAAGCTGGAGGGAAACAAGAGAGAGCAACAAGGAGAGATTGCAGCTGACACATGAGATGCTGGGAAGAAAGCAGAGCTGCAAGAGTTACCCTTACAAAGTAACCAAGTTGCAAAGAGTAAGTCCCAGAGAATAACCAAGCAATGTCTCAATAACTTTTGAAATATCCCAATATTTTCAGGTGTGCTGCAATTCCTGACCAATGGTTCATGGTTTTCAATGCAGAGAAGACATTGGCACCATCTGCACAGTTTTGTTTTAATGGCAGAGTAACTTTAACGGAACTAAGTTACAAGTTACTATGAAAATGTAACCAAGTTGCAGTTACTGAAAGTTTCGGTAACTCAGGAAGTCATTCATTATAGTTACTGAAATTGCAATTGATTACAGTAACTTAAATACTTCCTATATGTTACCTCACAGCTCTGAAAAAAAAGTTCATCCTAGGAAAAGACGTAGTGCAGGGCATTTTCTCTGCAATCCTGACAACAAAAGTAGGCAAAATACAGAGGTACATGGGCAGTACCAGCATGCAAAAGCGAAAATGTTTACAACATATAAGATAAACATGGAGCACATTTTCTTTTTCTATAACTAGTGCATCTCTGGAGAAGCAACACATAAACTGCATACTGCAGAAAGCACTAGGAACAACTTAAGCACAAGCATGCAAACAGATCAAGTAAAGCGGTTGCATGAAACAAAAAAGAACTCACAACATCTGATGGGACTTCCTCATAAAGTCCGAGCTTACCGGACTTTTTGAAAAAAATCGCCATTACGAGGATTTGCAGAACCTAACAATAATGGCATACAGGCAATAAAAAATAATTAGCACAGTGTATGACCCAAAACTGAGGAACGCAACTGAGAGCATAATCATTCAAGTACATGCACAGCAAGGGCATGCATATGCTGAAAAATAAAACTGACAGCAAAATAGATTGCTATAAACTTACCGAGGAAATAAAAACTATGCTTAGAGACTAGGGCATATTGACCAAATTCAACATGCAAACAGAGAAATAAATGTGGAGGAAAAGCAGGGCAATACAGCCTTAAAAAAATAAAACCAGAAAGTGCAAGCTCGTTAATGCTTCACTACCAGACAGGGACTAAAACAAGAAAAGTGACCATGACTTCCTAGAAAAGCAACCCGTTTCTTGCTATGTACAGGCTTTCATTATCAAATGTGCTCAACTGCATACAGTTAACATTACTAACATTGGTAAAAAATGTGAAAACTACATAACGTGGACAAGGCAGAAGGGAATAGGCAATGGAGAAAATATAAAGCTTTTTTATTGTAATAACCAAGTGTCTGCTAGAAAAAAATTGACTAAGCAATAATAAAGAAAAAGACACGAGGAACAGCCTCATAGAAATACCATAAAAATATGAGACATTTACAATTCTTTGTAAGGCCGAATTAGAGTGCAGCTCTTGAGGATGAGGGGGGTATGCCCCTCCTCCCCCTCCCCTCCTCCTATTCTGCTCCTTTCCCATTTAGCGAGAAATTTCGCTAAATTTACTGCTAAATTTAGCAAAAATTTCCCTGCTAATTTTGCTAACATTTACCCGCTAAATTTAGTGGGAAATTTAGCGGAAATTTCCCCGCTAAATTTAGTGGGGAAACTGAATTGGTGTTGAGGTCACGTGATGTCAATTTCCCCGCTAAATTTAGCGGGGAAAGTTTTTCGCTAAATCTAGTGGAAACGTTTTTCTGCTAAATTTCATGTAACATCACATTTATTCACGTGACGTCACGTGTGATGTCACGAGTGTAAAATTTTCCCGCTAAACTCAGCGGGAAAATTTCCTTGCTATATTTTGCGGAAAAATTTTCCCAGGTTGAGTGGCGTCACGTGTGACGTGACAAGGAAAAAATTTTCTTGCAAAATTTGGCGAAAAATTTTTACGCTAAATTTAGTGGGAAATTGTTTCCGCTAAATGTAACAGGGAAATTTCACCGCTAAATTTAGCGGAAAAATTTCCCGCCAAATTAAGCGGGAAAATTTTACCCTCTTAACGTCACGTGTGACGTCATTATGGGAAACGTTCCATATTGCAACGCACGGTGACGGCGACTCCGCACGGGCACTTAAAGGCCCGTTCACACTTTTGCCAACCGAGTACGACCGAGAGAGACGAGACTTGTTGAAACCTCTTAAAATCTCTTAGGACGAGGGAACACACTGGTACTCTGGCACCATCTATGCGGTGACCCTGGAACTGCATTTCACAAGAGCGAAGGTTTTGCGGGATTTCCGAGGTCAAATATGCGTAATACCCATAGAAAGGCTCGTTTATAACATTGACAAAAGTTTTTCGAGCCAAGAAAGGAAGGGTAATGCGCGAGAAAAATAGAAAATATGCCGGACCTCCAAGTTTACACTGCTACCCAATAGATGGCGCCAGTGTGTCCTCTCGTTGTAAGAGGTTTCAAGGCACCCAGTTCTAAGACGTCGCAAGAGTGTGAACGGGCCTTAATGTTGTGCTCTAAAAACTATTATGAATGCACAACATCTTTCTACAAGCATTCCTGAGTTCCTCATAGCTATTCAATACATGGCATACAATACCACAAAACTGAACTCTCCCAAAATATTTTTTCTACAAGTTCTTGGATAGGAAAAGCATGCCACAAAAAAAGTGTAAAAGAAGCTAATACAGCAGGCATCTGTCAAGGTGTGCTGCGTATGATAATTTCTATGTTCGGACTAGGCTGGGGACTATAGTCTGGCAATTACGGTACAAATATCAAGCAAGGCACTCATCAAATATTTGATACTACAAAGCGATGTGCTGCAATTTCAGTTTTGCAATCATATAAGATCAGTCCAATTTGTAGGTGTGTGCCAGTGAACCTTTGACTAAATAACTGGATCACACACCTAGGAGCATGCTGGGTTTGTAGGTAGGCATTGCACACACTCACCATGAATGCAGGAAAAACTAAGCAAGACTATCGCACACGAAGAGTGCGATTTGATTGTAGATTTTTATTTACAAAAAAACAGCTGCAGATGCCTGAAGATGCAGCGCACATGACTAGAAGCCCAGCATGCTTCTTGGTGTTCCAATCATAGCAGCGACGATAATAGACTTTTTGCTAAACTTCAGCTAAAGGTCTATTAGTTGTGCTCTCTCTCGACAGTGCGTTAATGATGCTATTATTTTCATTTACAGTCTCTTTTTCTCATCTACTCTGTCACATCTGAAGCCATCACAGGGGTGTGGTGGGCCATTTCCATATAAAGATAGGGCACAATTAAAGTACATACCACCAAAAACTCCTCCTTGTCTACACGTTGGTTTCCATCCGTGTCAAACATGTTGAAAGCAATTCTGAATCCAGATTGTGGCTCTAGATGATAGAGAAGTGTCCATTTAACTCGGCTCCCATCTCCTCAGGCGAGATGGCAGGCGGCGTGACTGTTACTCACTTGTGAGCACTGAGAGCAGAAATAGGTACTCGGTGTACGAAATTATTCCTGCATAAAACGAGAACAAAGAACGTCAAGGATTTTCCTTCGTTGAGGCGATGCGTCTCTGGGGTCCAATTTCGGTCAAGTAGAGAGCAAGAGCGTTCTCGGCAGCTGACTGGAGATGGCACCGGAGCTTGTCTCAAAATAAAACATTTTTGACCCGTTCGCGAGTTCACAATCAGGGAATATTTTGGTGAGACCATCTCACCAACATACAAATAGCGAAAGAGGTCTCACGGCTTCTGATTGTCCCTAATACTCCTTCATCCACCAATCGATGTTAGCTTGTGTACGGGAGCAGAACAACTTGTTATTTGCAAACAAAGTGCGAGTCGTCAATGGTTTCAACCTCCAATAGCAGACGGTCACGATTTCAGCCTGCCTCCGATCTCACCTCGCTATATGGTGCTCGGTTTGTAGCAGATGATAGAGTTTTCTTCCGGTGTGTTAGCAAACAACGTAGGGTGCTTTCTAGTTTTATTTACATCTGCGAATGGCGCTTCGTAGCAGATGAACCACTCTCTTTGCTCCTGTTAGCAGACTAACCGCCCACGAAAGCTATCTTTGCTCTCTCCGTGAAAGGCAAATTAGATCTCGCTCTCACTTCCGTGGTGACCAAAATCGAACCTCTGCAGTCTTGCACCCTCTCACCGTTGTCTCTCAGGTTCCTGAAGAGCTTCGTGGAACCATATCTCCTCTGAGGCGTCTGGTCAATGATGTAGTCCAGCTCCTTCTTCGTGAGGCGACGACGGTGTAATCGAGCTTTAGGAGAAATAGAGCAATGAGATCATGGAACTGAAAAATCAAAGGTTTGTGTCTGTGTTACTACATCATGATCAATAGCAAGCAAAAAATTATTGGCAGCAACCTTTATCTCCAAAGTTCTATGCTGCATTAAATGTGGTACTTGAGGAGCAATCATTTCACTTTGTTCAGAAGACATTAAACAGCTGTTTCAAAGTGAAGAAGAATTTATATCTTTATAAATTTAGTGAAGAAACTGATTCGATGCATAGGTCACATAACATCAATTTCTCCGCCAAATTTAGCGGGGAAATTGCTCATGTGACATTGGGTCATGTGACATCAATATTCACACCAGATTCAGAGGGGAAACTGAATTGGTGCATAGTTCACAGGACTTTCAATTTTCCCTCTAAATTTAGCGGGAAACTGAATTGGTGTTTAGGTCACGTGACTTCAAACAACTGAATTTCGTGGGAAATGCACGGATGAAAAGACGGACGGACAACATTTTAAGATTGGGGGTTCGAATAAAAAACATTTCATACTCTAAAACTAATTGTTTTCACGTCTGCTTTGAATGGACTGTGGAACAGCAAAAAAATGCCGCCGATAGCAGGTGCACTCCATTTGCTTTTTCTGTCAGACCGCATCTTCTCGTAGGCAACACTTGTAATTGTTAATATGATAACTGCAACTTTTGAAGCTTTGGAGTGTTATCCCAGCCCATAATGCCACAACCTGGCAAGAGTTCGAGCTTTCGACAATATTAGTTTGATTTTGCAATATGGAAAAAAAAAAGATTAAGGTACACCTAAGCATTCTTTATGAGTTGTAAATGCGAAAGCATGCAAGACCCTTGTCCACTCCCTTTTTCGTCTGCTGCATACTTTTCGTCGCCAATCAGTGCGTGTGCTCCCCCCAGCACGGTGACCTTGGACGCTCCGTGCCGAGCACTGATGGACATGCAGCGCCATGGGGTGAGCAGTTGTGGAAAATGACGAGCGCAGCGGCCAATGGGAGCCCCGTCGACGCACGCCAGCTAATGGAACCAAAGGATCGGGGAAACTATCTGCCGTTTTTGAGCTTCAAACTAATGACGTCGGCTCGCTCCATGAGACAGTTATTGCTTTCGCACTAAAAACTGCTCTGTGTTGTTACTTGGAAATCGTATATTCAACCTGGCAAAATGCTCAAAGTAAATGTAAACAATCACAGACACGCACACTCATTACCGCAATTATTTTCTGTTTACACGACATACCCTCTTTATTACTGACGTCCATTGCGCGCACTTGCTCCATTAGGCTTTACGCATCAAACAACCCAAGGACGCCACTGAGTTCAGTTCAAGAAACAGATATATTAAAGGTAGTATCTAGAGTGCCGTCCAACGCCGCTCTTGCAGAGCAATTAAGTGCCGTCCGACCACACTTTACGCCCACATTCCAGTGCTGTCCTACCGTGCAAATGCCGAACAGCGCCTTTTGAGCGAATCGACGTTTTAGCGCAGTGTATGTGTCCTTCTGCTTCTTGTCCCTCGTCGTCTGCGCCGTTCTAAAGCGTGTTAGCCAACCAACCAAGCCCCCGTCCCCGCTCATTCCTGTAGCGTTTGTCTGCTCGCCCTTTATGGTAAAACACATTGTCGGCGAGCGGTTGATGGAACACATGTCAGAATGAGCGTGAATTCTGCTTAACACTTTCGGAAGGCACTTAAAGGCGCGAGTGGAATGCCGTCGGATGGCACTTGAACGCTCCGCAAGAGACGGCACTCTTGCAGACGTTTTACCGTAGTCCTAAAGCTTTTTTGCCAGAAGAATTTCGCATTTTTGGACGGGTGACTAGCCAGTTAGACCGCGAAACTTTCGAAAGTAAGCGAGAACTGTGAAATAAGGACACGTACGCCTCGGCTCTGTTTCCGTGAGAGATTCCAGAAAATCTTCGGGAGTCATGTATAGCTGTCCCTCGTACTCCACTGACGCGAAGCGAATGAAACGTCGCTCGCGTTGGGTCAGATGCATGGTGTGCTCGTCCGGGTCCTCCTGAAATAGCGTACGATAGGGATAATATAGAAATAGATTCTTGCGGATACGCATCCCAGCCAAGAGCCGCGAAAACGAAGACAACGTACTCGGTCGACGGATTCCCTGTGAGGTCGTTTGGCCAGCACGGTGAAGCGTTTCTTGCTCAGAAGGAAGTAAACAGCGAAAGAAGCGGTGCTAATAATTCCTATTGGAACACCAACCTGTAACGCCTTCTTTGCAGCGGGTTTCTGCGACAGAGATTTGAAGGATCGTTTAAATACGACATTGCGAAGGAAATGCCCGAACTGACTCCGAAAGATGGGCGTCGCCATTTTCGAATCGTTTTGGATGCTTTGGATTCGG